TTAAGGTTAAAATTATAATGCAATTAAATGCAAAGGTGCAAGCGAGCTGGACAAGAATGACGAAAATACTTCCTGGAGAAGGGGAACAAGAGGGACAGAGGACAAACACAAATCTCCAAACACAGCTAGGTGACTGGTGCACTACCGAAAAAATCTTCTTGGTCTGTTATCGAACCCAGGACCTCTCCATTTCCAGTGGAGCACTCTACCAACTGAGCTAACCAAGGGTTAGACGTCAGTAGAGCAAACAGGTTTTACCAGCTGCCACCAGTCTAACACCATCAAGGGTGAAAGGCTCGCATTTTAAGGTTAAAATTATAATGCAATTAAATGCAAAGGTGCAAGCGAGCTGGACAAGAATGACGAAAATAATCCCTGGAGAAGGGGAACAAGAGGGACAGAGGACAAACACAAATCTCCAAACACAGCTAGGTGACTGGTGCACTACCGAAAAAATCTTCTTGGTCTGTTATCGAACCCAGGACCTCTCCATTTCCAGTGGAGCACTCTACCAACTGAGCTAACCAAGGGTTAGACGTCAGTAGAGCAAACAGGTTTTACCAGCTGCCACCAGTCTAACACCATCAAGGGTGAAAGGCTCGCATTTTAAGGTTAAAATTATAATGCAATTAAATGCAAAGGTGCAAGCGAGCTGGACAAGAATGACGAAAATACTTCCTGGAGAAGGGGAACAAGAGGGACAGAGGACAAACACAAATCTCCAAACACAGCTAGGTGACTGGTGCACTACCGAAAAAATCTTCTTGGTCTGTTATCGAACCCAGGACCTCTCCATTTCCAGTGGAGCACTCTACCAACTGAGCTAACCAAGGGTTAGACGTCAGTAGAGCAAACAGGTTTTACCAGCTGCCACCAGTCTAACACCATCAAGGGTGAAAGGCTCGCATTTTAAGGTTAAAATTATAATGCAATTAAATGCAAAGGTGCAAGCGAGCTGGACAAGAATGACGAAAATACTTCCTGGAGAAGGGGAACAAGAGGGACAGAGGACAAACACAAATCTCCAAACACAGCTAGGTGACTTGTGCACTACCGAAAAAATCTTCTTGGTCTGTTATCGAACCCAGGACCTCTCCATTTCCAGTGGAGCACTCTACCAACTGAGCTAACCAAGGGTTAGACGTCAGTAGAGCAAACAGGTTTTACCAGCTGCCACCAGTCTAACACCATCAAGGGTGAAAGGCTCGCATTTTAAGGTTAAAATTATAATGCAATTAAATGCAAAGGTGCAAGCGAGCTGGACAAGAATGACGAAAATACTTCCTGGAGAAGGGGAACAAGAGGGACAGAGGACAAACACAAATCTCCAAACACAGCTAGGTGACTGGTGCACTACCGAAAAAATCTTCTTGGTCTGTTATCGAACCCAGGACCTCTCCATTTCCAGTGGAGCACTCTACCAACTGAGCTAACCAAGGGTTAGACGTCAGTAGAGCAAACAGGTTTTACCAGCTGCCACCAGTCTAACACCATCAAGGGTGAAAGGCTCGCATTTTAAGGTTAAAATTATAATGCAATTAAATGCAAAGGTGCAAGCGAGCTGGACAAGAATGACGAAAATAATCCCTGGAGAAGGGGAACAAGAGGGACAGAGGACAAACACAAATCTCCAAACACAGCTAGGTGACTTGTGCACTACCGAAAAAATCTTCTTGGTCTGTTATCGAACCCAGGACCTCTCCATTTCCAGTGGATTACTCTACCAACTGAGCTAACCAAGGGTTAGACGTCAGTAGAGCAAACAGGTTTTACCAGCTGCCACCAGTCTAACACCATCAAGGGTGAAAGGCTCGCATTTTAAGGTTAAAATTATAATGCAATTAAATGCAAAGGTGCAAGCGAGCTGGACAAGAATGACGAAAATAATCCCTGGAGAAGGGGAACAAGAGGGACAGAGGACAAACACAAATCTCCAAACACAGCTAGGTGACTGGTGCACTACCGAAAAAATCTTCTTGGTCTGTTATCGAACCCAGGACCTCTCCATTTCCAGTGGAGCACTCTACCAACTGAGCTAACCAAGGGTTAGACGTCAGTAGAGCAAACAGGTTTTACCAGCTGCCACCAGTCTAACACCATCAAGGGTGAAAGGCTCGCATTTTAAGGTTAAAATTATAATGCAATTAAATGCAAAGGTGCAAGCGAGCTGGACAAGAATGACGAAAATACTTCCTGGAGAAGGGGAACAAGAGGGACAGAGGACAAACACAAATCTCCAAACACAGCTAGGTGACTGGTGCACTACCGAAAAAATCTTCTTGGTCTGTTATCGAACCCAGGACCTCTCCATTTCCAGTGGAGCACTCTACCAACTGAGCTAACCAAGGGTTAGACGTCAGTAGCGCAAACAGGTTTTACCAGCTGCCACCAGTCTAACACCATCAAGGGTGAAAGGCTCGCATTTTAAGGTTAAAATTATAATGCAATTAAATGCAAAGGTGCAAGCGAGCTGGACAAGAATGACGAAAATACTTCCTGGAGAAGGGGAACAAGAGGGACAGAGGACAAACACAAATCTCCAAACACAGCTAGGTGACTGGTGCACTACCGAAAAAATCTTCTTGGTCTGTTATCGAACCCAGGACCTCTCCATTTCCAGTGGAGCACTCTACCAACTGAGCTAACCAAGGGTTAGACGTCAGTAGCGCAAACAGGTTTTACCAGCTGCCACCAGTCTAACACCATCAAGGGTGAAAGGCTCGCATTTTAAGGTTAAAATTATAATGCAATTAAATGCAAAGGTGCAAGCGAGCTGGACAAGAATGACGAAAATACTTCCTGGAGAAGGGGAACAAGAGGGACAGAGGACAAACACAAATCTCCAAACACAGCTAGGTGACTGGTGCACTACCGAAAAAATCTTCTTGGTCTGTTATCGAACCCAGGACCTCTCCATTTCCAGTGGAGCACTCTACCAACTGAGCTAACCAAGGGTTAGACGTCAGTAGAGCAAACAGGTTTTACCAGCTGCCACCAGTCTAACACCATCAAGGGTGAAAGGCTCGGATTTTAAGGTTAAAATTATAATGCAATTAAATGCAAAGGTGCAAGCGAGCTGGACAAGAATGACGAAAATACTTCCTGGAGAAGGGGAACAAGAGGGACAGAGGACAAACACAAATCTCCAAACACAGCTAGGTGACTTGTGCACTACTGAAAAAATCTTCTTGGTCTGTTATCGAACCCAGGACCTCTCCATTTCCAGTGGAGCACTCTACCAACTGAGCTAACCAAGGGTTAGACGTCAGTAGAGCAAACAGGTTTTACCAGCTGCCACCAGTCTAACACCATCAAGGGTGAAAGGCTCGCATTTTAAGGTTAAAATTATAATGCAATTAAATGCAAAGGTGCAAGCGAGCTGGACAAGAATGACGAAAATACTTCCTGGAGAAGGGGAACAAGAGGGACAGAGGACAAACACAAATCTCCAAACACAGCTAGGTGACTTGTGCACTACCGAAAAAATCTTCTTGGTCTGTTATCGAACCCAGGACCTCTCCATTTCCAGTGGAGCACTCTACCAACTGAGCTAACCAAGGGTTAGACGTCAGTAGAGCAAACAGGTTTTACCAGCTGCCACCAGTCTAACACCATCAAGGGTGAAAGGCTCGCATTTTAAGGTTAAAATTATAATGCAATTAAATGCAAAGGTGCAAGCGAGCTGGACAAGAATGACGAAAATACTTCCTGGAGAAGGGGAACAAGAGGGACAGAGGACAAGCACAAATCTCCAAACACAGCTAGGTGACTTGTGCACTACCGAAAAAATCTTCTTGGTCTGTTATCGAACCCAGGACCTCTCCATTTCCAGTGGAGCACTCTACCAACTGAGCTAACCAAGGGTTAGACGTCAGTAGAGCAAACAGGTTTTACCAGCTGCCACCAGTCTAACACCATCAAGGGTGAAAGGCTCGCATTTTAAGGTTAAAATTATAATGCAATTAAATGCAAAGGTGCAAGCGAGCTGGACAAGAATGACGAAAATACTTCCTGGAGAAGGGGAACAAGAGGGACAGAGGACAAACACAAATCTCCAAACACAGCTAGGTGACTTGTGCACTACCGAAAAAATCTTCTTGGTCTGTTATCGAACCCAGGACCTCTCCATTTCCAGTGGAGCACTCTACCAACTGAGCTAACCAAGGGTTAGACGTCAGTAGAGCAAACAGGTTTTACCAGCTGCCACCAGTCTAACACCATCAAGGGTGAAAGGCTCGCATTTTAAGGTTAAAATTATAATGCAATTAAATGCAAAGGTGCAAGCGAGCTGGACAAGAATGACGAAAATACTTCCTGGAGAAGGGGAACAAGAGGGACAGAGGACAAGCACAAATCTCCAAACACAGCTAGCTGACTGGTGCGCGACCGGAAAAATCCGCCTGGTCCAGGAATGGAGAGGTTCCGGGGTCGATAACGGACCAGGCAGATTTTTTCGGTCCCTCACCAGTCACCTAGCTGTGTTTGGAGATTCGTGTTTGTACTTTGTCTCCCTTGTTCCCCTTCTCCAGGGATTATTTTCGTCATCTATGTCCAGCTCGCTCGCACCTTTGCATTGAATTGCATTATAGAAATGCTATTTCATCTAAAAAGGTACACATCAAGCTTTCGACGATTTAGTGCGCAAGTGAGATTCTAGTGGGCGTGGCCCCGTGAGTCCCAACTACGTGGAGCAATGCCGTGCCACGGAAGCAGGTTTGTCTTCGCTTGCTGTGCCCAGGGAGCGGGAGTCAATTGCCAGATGCGTCGAGGACGGTGACGTTCATTCTAACAACGGCGCTACGAACGTCAATGTCGAATGGTCGGCTCAGAAAAGAGTCTGATCCAAGGTGTTCCCTAGGCGATAGTCAGTTCCCCTGGAATGTTCTCCCCGTGCGAGTCGTTCCCGAGAAGTAAGGAACTCGAAAACAGTTTTGGCATAAGTTGGATGTGGTAGACAGGGAGTACACCCGGTGGTATTCATCCCAATTTTTCCTCGGCAGTTTGCTGTGAAGATTGCCAATGCCTTTGCTGCCAAGCGCTTTGCTGAGGAACAGAAAGCGAAGAAGCTGAAAGAGTATGTGAAGAGGCAGAGGAAGTTACCGTGGGGGTGAGTTGCCAGCAGACGACGGACGGTCGCAAACGTCGGGAGAAACCGACTGCTCAAAGGGCCCGTTTTTTTTTTACTATATTATTCTGCGATATTCTTTACCTGTTCTTTGATAGATTCTGTCACGTTCCTTATCTAAATCTTTTAATTTATCGGTGCTATTAGCCCCGCTGTTTTATTTACCATATTTTCTGGCGTACAAGTCGTGTTTTTATCGATGGGTTTTATACAACGATGCAACTTGCTCGTCTTTTTTTTTTTATAAGTATGAACCTGAACTGTGCCATATGGCCATACGAATGTTTATGGCAAAGGGAGAATGGCAGAGCACCTTCTGGTGTTCTGAAGTGTAATAGCATAGGCTGCAGCAATCTTACGCATGCAGCTGCTGACCGTGGAAAGGGCTTCTATACTAACATTTTTGGGGGCCGTTTTTAGGGGTTTTTAATCTGAAAACTATGGTAGTTATTTTGCGATCACTTCTCTCATCTATTGGCTCGTGCCGCGTGAGCCGACCTTCGTGGGACAGGGCAATCCAAAGAAGGAATGAAGGAACCAGAAACCCGACCACTTTGTGGCCAAGCATTGAGATCCCCTTGTCTCTCGGGAGGTCGTTGTAAACTTTGCGGTGCGAAGGAAACGTGGGGATGCAGCGAGTCGGGGGCTCCAGTTTTAACGGGAAGTCATTTTACTGCCTTGCCTGTAGATTGTTCAGAACAGCGGTGCTTAGCAAGCTTTCAGGTTACGTCTGTCAAAACAGCCTTCGCTAATTGTTGAACGAATGTGCCGTATTAAACGATATGTGTAAACAATTTGCCTTCCCTGTTGCTGAAAGAACGAAAGTTTTATCAGAAAATAACAACGAAGTTCATATCAGTATAGTAGTTGCCTCCATCTCGTCTTTTTCTTCTCCGCAGTTGTATTGGCAGCGTGGGTGCAATTTGCGCTTACGTCACCCGTCTGCGAGTGTTTATGGTACACTGCGCAGGCTATGCAGGGATCGAGTCTTCCACTTCTTGTGCAGGAATTGCAGCGACGTTAGAACAACACCGAGCTGCGATTGGCTTTAGTTGAAACGGTAGTGGATAGACCTCAATGCTAGACGCCTCGAGGTCGACCCACCATTTGTTTTTAATCAGTCAATAAGAGCTCGGCGTTCTGTCGCTACCCCTCGAGCAAGAAGCAGACGAACTTGCACTCTGAATAAGTGGCAACTCCTTTGTCACAACTAGGTGTTTCTTCCAGCTGCCCATTTACCTGTTTGCAGGGGCTTTTGCGTCTATTCATTAATCCTTCTTTACAATTGGAGGTCGGCGCCCCGACATCATTGCACGCTCCCATCTCCTCCTCTCTTGCGGTTTCTCTGGATTTAGCCTCGTGCTTATAATTAGAGTTCTGTATTTTAGATATGTACCCTATAAACTTCAAAAAGCTATCCCCATGCCAGCTTTACCAAAATTGGGGAAAACTCAAAAACTCCAAATTGGAGCTGTCCTTGATCAAGAAAAACCCAAAGGGAATGAACTTATTTACAGCTTTATTTTGAGTCGAGACGGCAGAGTTCCTGCACCAAATAGACCATTTGCTATATTCCCAAGCGCCCCGGCCTGCACTCGAGGAATCATGGGAACTGTGTTCTTTCAGCTCCCTAGTGATCGCTAAGTTCGACCAATGCCATAGTTACACAGTTCTTGTGCATAATTCGGAGTCGCCCTGAACAAGTGCCTGATATACCCCAAGGACTTGTCGTATTACTTTTAAAATTTCTCGCAAATGTCAGCATTTTTGATACTGTGCATGCGATCCACCTTTCAATCTGGTTGAGCTGCACAAAACTTTTACAATATTATCATTCTCGTGATTGTTGTTTTAGCAGGAATTGCTTAAAAAGCGGAGAATTCACAACAAAAACCAGGACTTAGTTTGGAGTCAGCGGGGCTGTTTATAGCATTTTTAGTGTTTCTAAGTTAATATCAGCATCTTTTAAGCTGTAAAGAATGACAATAATGTAACAGATTTTCTACAGCTCATCCCAGTTGAATGGTGGACAACATGCACAATATAAAAAACATTGACATTGAGGAGAAATTTTAAAAGCGATATGACAAGTGCTTGGGGTATACCAGGTGCTTGTTCAGGGTGACCCCGAATTACGCGAGAAAACTGTAATCATGAATTGGGTCGAAATTACCGATCACTAAGGAGCTGAAGGAACACCGTTCTCATGATTCCTCCAGGATGGGCCGGGGCGCTTGGGGGATATTGCAAATGGTCTAGTGCCTGCGAGGCTGTCTTTGGGAACCACTCACCTCATTACCTCATTTCCTTCTTTCGCCTGCAGTTTTCAGGTCAGGCGCACATTCCCTGGAAATTAGGAAATCGTATAGCCGGGTCCCGTTTCTCTCGAGTCTCATTATATACATTGATTTTCTGTCCTGTACCAAAGATAGACGCCGGACCTCAAAAACATGAAACCACACTTGTAGCCTTTCTCACTTTATTGCTGCTGGTCGTAGTGGGCTGGTGACATTTGTACATCTACTTTGACATGCATGGCTACCAAAAATTGTGTAGTCTTTCGCTGGAGTGTAGAATTGAACTGCAAGTCGTACAGATGGTGTGGTGCAGTAATGCCATGGGGCCCGTTTTGCAGGTTTGAAGCGAAGGAGAGGTGGCAGATGAAGGGGAACATGTGACACTGCCCGGAGACGTTCTGGAGCTGCCTGGAATGGTTTCCAGTTGAAAATAAAGCCTACTTCGCTCTGGGCACCCAAAATGGTGCCAAACTCGTCGGGGGAGCGATGCTGGGTGTACGACGTGTCAGCATGTTGCTTAAAAATGAAGAAACTTACTTAGCAAGAAGGCTTACATTGTTTACAATAGGTATAAAAAAGTGAAAGCCGTTTACCACTCGCTGTAACACCGAATTAGAGCGCAGCTCTTGAGGAGGAGGACGGAAGGGTACTGGGGGGTGAAGTGACGTGGGGAGGGGGGTCACGTGACGATGCCGATGATGTCATCAGTGTCGTCACTGATGACGTCATCTGTGATGATGACGATGCGGATGCCGGTGACGTCATATCCGTGATGATGACGATGCGGATGCCGGTGACGTCATCAGTGACGTCACTGATGACGTCATCAGTGACGATGACGATGCGGATGCCCGTGAGGTCATCAGTGACATCACTAATGACGTCATCAGTGACGATGACGATGCGGACTCCGATGACGTAATCCGTGATGATGACAATGCGGATGCCGGTGACGTCATCAGTGACGTAACTGATGACGTCATCAGTGATGACGATGACGATGCGGATGCTGGTGAGGTCATCAGTGACGTCACTCATGACTTCATCAGTGATGATGACGATGTGGATGCCGGTGACGTCATCGGGGAGGTCACGTGACCCTGGGGGTGGTCACGTGACTTTGGGTGTCACGTGACCTTGGGGTGACCTTGGGGGCCACGTGACCTTGGGATGACCTTGGTGACGCCGACGCCGCTCAAGCCGGGAACGGGCCCCTAAGAGCTGCGCTCTAAAAAGAAAAAATATCATTCAAATGCCAGCCACCCACAACTACAATAACTTTTCATGTGGATCATAGTGCAACACTGCAGTTCAGATAAGGCACCTTTCCCTTTGCATTGATATCACGTGAAATCGCAGCAATAACCAGCCCATTGTCCAAAGTGTCAATTGATGGAAATACATTCACCCAATACTGAAAGAACCACCGAAAAAGGGTAAGAACTGGGATATGTACTGTGCAACAAACATTGCATGTTACTATGCTTGGGAACTAGGGTAACTATCATACCTACTAGAATCTAAGTTTTAGCCATCCATATTACTAGAGGGCATCAGCAGTAACTCCTAGCATGCCAATGCAGAGCACAGCACATGGACAGGTGTACAGCAGCGATGTGATTGGCCTAAGCCATTTTAGTGCATGTTTCGGAGCAACCAAAACAGTGTTTTGGAGCAGCAAATGTGGCCTTTGGAGCAGCAAAAGCAGCTTATGGAGGAGCCAAGACAGTGTTTCGGAGCAGCGAAAGTGGATTTTGGAGCAGAGATTCTTAGGAAAATAAAAATATTTAAGTACTGTACAAACGAAAGGCACCTTGTGTTCTGATGAGACGTGTTGTGACGGAACTCGCTTCTTCTGTTTTTACTGCTCAGACATCCCACAAGTGTACAGTGCTGTAGGCATTGCCAAGCAATTTCGAAAAACCGCTTGCTACCATTTTACTGGTTCCCGACATGCCAGATTTTCGTCAAAAGCAAGCAAACGTAAAGCAATGAATTGCAAGTGTCCCAGCTGGTGCCTCAGTCACGCAATCATGTTTGCATGCACGTGAGGCCAACTTCAGCAGGCTTGCTGTTGGGCATGCTTCGGCGCACGAGCGCAGACAACGGTTGTCCGATCGAAATCGAAACCATGCCCCTCAGCTCCGTCGCTAACTTTTCCCAAAAATTGTACACAAAATGTAACTTTCGAGCATGCGACAAAAACAGTCCAGTGGCGCGTGCTTGCCAGGCCGGCAAACAAGGTACAAGCTAAGCGCACAAAAAATAAAGAACCCTTAGTTTCACAGCATGACGGCATGGCTGGTACCCGGCACGCTAGCGTCGGAGCGTCTGCACACATCCAAGCCTATCGCTGAAAAAACCCCCCCCCCCCCCCCCCCCCCCCCCAAAAAAAAAAAAAAACACCCAGAGACCCATTAGACGAGAGCGCGAAAACCATGCAAGACGGTACTTTGGTGTCAGGTGGCTGCTTGCGCCACATAACACACGCCTGCTCAATTTATTTTAGGTTAGTCGCAGTATCGTGCACTCTTGTAAAACCTGTTTAAACATTGATAGAGTGCAGGAAAGCTGGTAATGAATCGACATCTTGTAGACCCCGAGATGGGATCTACAAGATGTCCTTTTTCATTTTTTTTTTTTTTTTTTTTTTGCATCGCTCGAGCTCACTTTAGCACAGGCGTGGTGCAATTTTTCGCAAAGCAGTATTCGCAACTCCAGCGCGCCGCTCGCCCTCCCACGGACGAACAGAGAACCAGAGGAGCGGGGACGGCAGCGGCGACGGCAGCGCGGAACGGTGGCAGAGACTGTCCGCCTTGAAACAGCCTTGCACAAAGGACCGGGAGGTCAAATTTCATTAGGGACTTTTCGTGTATCGCACACGCTGCGGATTTCTGGTCTTGTGCATGGCCGCTAGCTCAATCTGTGCTCAACGTGACGAAAAACGCTCCCGCTAATAATGAGGAACTCTATAGTTCGGTCTACGGAAAGTCGATTCTTTGCCATGAGTAGGAGAAAACTCGTCGCGCAACGGGTATGTCGAGCAATACAAATCGGGAAGGGGTTCGCGTTTTAAGGCCCTTACAAAAAACATGACTATTTATTTCAAGCACTTTAAAACGACAAAATACCCGTACTTGCTTTCAGCTAATTACAAAGCAAATAAAGAAATGCTCGAAGCATTTTAAGCGCGTCTGTGTTAGCCAGCCGTTTGTGACGAGAGCTCAGAACGCGCAGTTTTGGCCAGAGGGACCGCAATGTGGAAACAACACGGTACAAGATATGTACGGTATATTAAAATATTTTTTGATAGAGCAATAAATAAAACGCCTAAACACGCCGATTATGTTAAGAGGCAGTTTTTGCATAGCGTACGACACCTCTAAACTTCCGTCGGACGTACAGCGCACTGACGTTCAACCGGCGCTACCAACTTTCACGAGCGGCTTGATAGCCGAGTTGTGCAACTTATTAAAATAGCTTAAGTAAGTGTAAATGACTAGAAAAAAAAGTAATCGGGGTTTTCTTGGCCCTACTGCAAAACCTCGGCGTTCTTTGTTTTGTTTTTCGGTGCTCTTTGATGCGTACTTTAGCTGTTTAATATCTTATATTGCGCCGTCATCAAACCTCTCGTAAAAATTGGGGCCGTCAGTCTGATGTCATGGGCTGCACAGAGAACTGAAGTTTTGGAGTATCGTAGATGTGACAAGGAATGCAAGAACTACAACATTTTTTTTTTTTTTTTTTTTTTTTTAGAGTGATGATTACGGTAACATTCCTGGCGCGCACTGAAGATTGTGCTTCAAGGGCGCAGCGCGAGCTTGCGATTGTAATGTTACACCGCACGGTAGCCTGCGGTAATAAACTTTTTATCAATAACCATACAACAGCTAAATTTGATTACGTGTTGCAATACACTAAAACCGAGACGGCGAGCAGCGATTTGAGAGGCTGTGACGCGAAGACTCCAATACTGTGATTTGCTGATCTTCCGAAGCTTGGCGGTCACCGTTCGCGTCTCTTTTTTAGAGCACTAATGGGCAGGCAAAGCGCAAACATATCTTCATCACCCTCAAAAATATTCCGCCACGAACAGTAACGTGGCCGGTGCATAAAACGCGCTCGCCCACCACAAAGTTTCGCACTTTGAGGTTTCTGCAACTTTTAAATAGCAGCATGCTCGTTTTCCTAACGCACATCAGCATCCCCGTCACCTGTTATATGATCCCTCCCTAACCGCTTCGCATTTGTAGACAAATAAATCATTGTTAGCGCGCTGAACAGCGTCAGCGAGCAGGCGCACGGTATAACCTGGAGAATCTATCCCCGTCTCTTCCGCCATCTTGGAACTACCCGCGACTCCAACTAACTATAGGTGGCGCCACTCATTTTCCAAAATGGTGGTTATAGTGAGGGTCGGAGATGCGTGCCGCTATTGAGCCTGTCTGGTGTGCTGGCTTTACTGAGCGACACAAATTATTTCTGGGGATACGAGGAAGCTAGGGTGTTATGGGCGCAGGTCACCTCTTTATCCTGAAAACAAGAACGGTGTTTAGCGTAATATTTACGCAAGGATGTGCGTTTTAATCCTTGAGCGAAACCGAAACTAATCTCTATTTTGGATTTAATTTCTCGGTATAGATTTTAATTTCGGATTCTTTCATACCTCAAGTCTCACATCGTAATTATTTAGTTAAAGAAGTTGTTCGCCGAGACTTTATTTTGTGACATACATGTTTTAATCCAGGCTGATATTTGTAGTTGTTGAAAAAATCAGTGCTGATATTTGTGCGTTGTAGCTGCCTTTTCTTGCTCAGATAATTACCATGGGAAATAATGAACTCTGAGCCTTTTAATAAGTTTTTGGGTATTGAGATTATTAATAGGTTTAACATAATTCCAAGCGCAAGAATAAGAGAGTAATTCCAATTTTTACAATATGTCCACAAACCGTAAAAATTAATAAACGCTGTTCTCACTGCAACAACTCAAAGACGGACTCCGAGTCAGAGAGCTGAAGTGTGTGTGTGTGTGTTTTATAGGCAGCGCGTGACGCATAGGACTTTATATTACATCCAGTGTTTGACTGTTTGTCTATTTTAAAAACGAGGTCAGAGTTTGTCATATGCTAAAAAGAAAACAAAATTATACCTTTCTGGAAAAACTATTGTGGTTAAATGGCGTATTTTCGTGATCTTATCGTTAATTGTGGGCATACATTGCCGCGATTGGTATTAATAATAATATTATAATTCAGATATCTTAACACGTAATTTTTTCGAGCGCTGCGTATGATCTGATTTCGAACGCGCGAACAAATATGGCAACCAAAAGTGTGCTAAATATCATCACTGGTGCCAATCGCAGCATTTTTAATTACCAAGTAATAAAATAAAAATAGTCCAAAGTCAATGAAAACATTTTAGCTAATGTGAGAAATCCAGGTAAAATTACATTAATTCTGGTTAATGTATATTTTTCTATCAAAGTTGCGACTTTTGACAATCGGCACGACGTAAGTCGCCGCCAATATCCTTCCAGGCGAAATGGCCAAAAAATATTTTTTTAATTATTATTTTTTATAACATTTAGTTACTTTCATTTTTACGCTCCGTCGTTTTGCCAATCTCAGCCTTTCCAGTTCAAAGGAACGCCTACTTGCTTGCAGGTCCGCTCACTGCAGCACGTTTCGTTGGCGTTGGAAGCCGGTGAAAAAGTAGTGAGTTTTAATATTGCGTATACGAGCGAACGCAAGCACCGTGTAAAAGCGTTAGCTTTGCGTGTTCCACACTGCGCGTGCGCGGAGCATGAAATTGCGGTCTTGAATTGGCGCATGGCGATGAGGCGCACGCAGAACGTGGGGCACGCAACTTTAACGCAAACGCACACCGCTTGCGTTTGCTTCTATGCGCAATACTAAAACTCTTCAATAAGTGCATACCGGCTGCAGCACTACGTTGGGACCACTGATCTCAATGACAATTGCTGGATCGCGCTTGCCGCTCCCGCAAGTGAAGCCACCGGACTTCACTCGCTTGGGATACGATTTGCCGTTTTTGCTAGCCTTTGCCACGGTTTTTCAGCGTGCTGTAGACACGTTTTCTACTCGTTCGTCGTCATTCGCCGAAGAAGCTTTTTGAAGACTCTGTGTATTGTTGAGACTTGCCGTCGTGAACACGTGGAAAATTTTACGAAAGTGCAGTGTCGCAGGAAAAAGGCACAACGTGTCGAAAGGAAGGGCTGGCGGCGTCTTCAAAGCTTCCTTGGCACGCCGAAGTGCCGTGTCTCTGTGCCTTCGCACGCTTGGATACCGACCAAGAATCGACGCCGTGTGGATGTGTTTTGCGAGTGCAATGTGCGTGAAGCCGTATCAAAAGGTACAACTCGTCGAAAACAAGTGTCGCCGGTGTCGCGGCGTGATCAAAGCTTCCTTGGCACGCCGAGTGATGCATCTTTGTGCCTTCGCACGCTTGGATACCGGTCAAGAATTGACGCCGCGCCAAAGTTATGAACGTGTGTCGCGCGTAGAAGCCTTTAGATCATGTATATATATCGGCCACGGAGTTCTGGATCGTCCAGCTGTTCCGGTGAGTTGCTATCAATAAAAGGGGGAGATCTGTACGTGTTCTTATGTACTATATTAACCATGGCTATGTCCCAAATCTACTCTAATAGATTCCGTGGGAGCACGAATAGGACAACGTTGTGGAGCCAGGGGGGTTTTCGAAAGCAAAAGTACAAGACTGCGAGAATGAAAATCTTTGAAGCGCGGCCGATATGGTCGTGTGCAATCTGTTGACCAATTACAATTAGGCGAGCCGCGCTCAAACGTCAAGTGCAATTAAGTAGGTTGATAATAAGCCAGCACTGATCAGTGATGAGGAGCTGTTGTGCACGGTATTGTGTAAATCGTCTAAGGACGAAAAAAAGACGTACCTTCACCCAATCTTCCGTTGCTAGTGGACGCCGGATTAAGCTCGTTCCTAAACCGCGAGGGGAAAAGACGCTGATCCAGAGGCACGAACAGCTTCACGCACATTGCATTCGCTAAACAAATACACACGGCGTCGGTTCTTGGTCAGTATCCAAGCGCGCGAAGGCACAGACACACGGCACTTCGGCGTGCCAAGGAAGCTTTGAACACGCCGCCAGCCCTTCCTTTCGACGCGTTGTGCCTTTTTCCTGCGACACTGCACTTTCGTAAAATTTTCCACGTGTTCACAACGGCAAGTCTCAACAATACAGAGGCTTCAAAAAACTTCTTCGGCGAATGAAGACGAACGAGTAGAAAACGTGTCCACAGCACGCTGGAAAACCGCAGCAAAGGCTAGCAAAGACGGCAAATCGTATCCCAAGCGAGTGAAGTCCGGTGGCTTCACTTGCGCTGCAGCGAACAAGCGGGGAAGCGCGATCCAGCAATTGTCATAGAGATCAGTGGTTGGGACTGTGAAGGAGTGTTGTTTGCATTCGGAAATGACACTTCGCGAGATATGATCGCGAGCAGTTCCGCCGTGCCCGCTGAGCAGGAGAATCGGGGGACCCTCGCTAGAGCGCTTCCCGTTTCCGCCGCGGGAGGGCGAGCGTCAAGCTGGAGACGCGATTGCGAATACGGCGCAACATGCTTCCATTCATCACTAGACCCATTGCTATATTACCCAAGTATCAAGGAGAATGCAGGGATTGGTGTTCCACATGCCTTTCTCGTATAAAATATTAGAAGTAAATAACCAAAATAAAGCATTGACGAACGCACGTGCAAGTTGCCATTTGTTTTAGGTATTTGCTTTAGAAAAGTTACTACTGCTAAGGCCAGCGCGTGCGGCGCGTGGAACACCATTCCCTGCATTCTCCTTGGTGCTTGGGGAATATAGCAATGGGTCTATTCGAGCCCTGCAAAGCAGCCACTCCCAGAGAAGGCAAATGGTGCTCGTAAATGGTACGGTAAGGAATGGGACACACAGGCTGTTTCACAGTGGTTTTATTCACACGCGTTACGTTCCCCTCCTCAGTCGAAGAGACCTGCACAGAGAACACATTGTCCAATTACAAAACACCCTCATACTTGGCAGATAATCCAATAGACACCAATTTAACATTTCCCTACACTGGTTGCCATCACGGTGGAAGAAATACATGTAGGTGGCGACTCTGGCCGCTCTTCCCGCGGGAAGCGAGCGACCAGTTCGTGTTCGGAGCTAGCCTCGAACAAGGAGCATACTCTGTTTCACCTCATGATGTACCGCAGGAAAGGCTACAACCGCGAGCTCCTTGCTCTGGGGCACATCCCGGCGGCACAAGCTCTCGTGACTTGGGAGCAGCTGCCAACGCCATGAGCTCGCGCTTCTAGCCTTCGCTGCACTACAACATAAGGTGAAACGAAGCGCAGTTCACAACACAGGATGTAGAAGATGGCGTTCTTTGGTAGTATGCAGTGAATTCAGCTTTTATGTACATATTAAAGCAAAAAATACTTGTCAGGTATTTTTTTATTTGCAAGATGGGGTGACACCATATTAATGTGCCAGATGAAAATTGATTTATATTATATAACTGCTACTATTGTTAGACTTTCAGTCACTGTGTAAGAATGTCATCATACTGGGTCATCGTTTCAGTTTTTTTTTGCTCACAAAGTTTGTATGTTCCACAGTACAATTTGACATTGTATGTATAAACCATTTGTAATGCTAAAACTTTTATGCGCATGTAAAGAATTATTTAGGCCCCACTATGTAACATTATTAGAATTTAGTTTTGTGAATAAGGCAGGATCAGGGTGAAAACAATCACCCGACCTCATATAAAGCCACGCAATGTGTGTAAACAATTTACGGAACTGTTACCAAACGTGCGAACACGACCCAGGTGTTTACTCTAAATTATTGAAGGCCCAGTAGATTATGTTGGGAAGTTTTATATTTATACGAGTATTTTTGTCACGCTGAGTCATTATCGGAATGTTCTCGTTAAAAAAACAACAACAACAAAACAACAGGAATCACACGGGGGGGAAAAGGCAATCACTGCCAGTGCGCCAACATAAATCTATCATTTCACTACACAGTACACAGGGACCGAGTAAAGAGTGCATAATTTCCTTCACAAGCCCCTCTTAGAGTAACTGTATATGCTCCGCTTGCGGAGCAGAGTACCGCAATGGTGCCATTCTGGAGCCAAGCACTGCGGGAAGCCACGGTCGCTTTTTGCAGGGGACGCGAAGGCGCAGACGCGAGGCGGCGTGCGGCGACGAGCCGCGCCGGCGCCGTCATCGTTGTCCCGTCGGTTCCCGTTTCCCTCTCGATTGCAAAAATCGCACCCACAGATCCTGCGGGTCGCGTGTGAAGTGAAGTCATCAATTCATTGCGGTAAACGAGGCAGCGGCTGACGAAAACGCCGTCCCCTCGCTTTCGCTCGAGAGCTCGCCAAGATGGCCGGATGTGCCGGTCGCGTATCGCGTATCGCTCCGCGAGAGCCGCAGACGCGAGTAACGCGATCGTCGTCCGTGTCGTCTGCTTCCCATAACTTTGAAACGGATGTCATAAAACATCGCTCGCGTTATAAAAAAAACAGGATTGTATTGTACCCAGTTGACGCACATAATGTTCAATGACTTAGGAAGCTTTCGGTTCGTTCGATTTTAGTCTAGGATCTATATTTGGCGAACTCAAAGCGGAAAATGTGTTCCCCCGAAACTCGGCGTTCTGGAAGGCCGCTTTCCCGCACGAAGTTCGGATCCAGTTCTGCCCACGTGACCACTCCTCCACCAATACGGAGATGGCGGCGAAAGGAAAAGGAACGCGATACTCTGGCTCTGCAAGCAGAGCCTATACAGTTACTCTAGCCCCTCTATTGGGGAGGATGGATGGATGGATGAATACGGCTGAGCCCTTTGGATCGGGCGGTAGCTTACGCCACCTAGCCATTTTGTTTTACCATTTAAGCTTAGAATATTTAAATGTGAAATCTATATTCACTTCGCAGTGCAAAGAAAGTGAGGCTATGAAACCCCCTTGCCATCAGTGAATAAGAAAATACCTAGTTTTCTCTCGATTTCTGCCACCATTCACTTAATCTTTGCTTGGTAATCTCTACAGTCTTGAAATCCACTCTCCCTTCGCTGTCTCTAAAACCCAATGACTTTATTAAATCTATGTTGTCTTCAGTAGGCATAGGGTGAAGCCCTTTACAGTAGAGTATCAAGTGCTCAGCCGTCTCGTTCTCTCCACAAGCAGTGCACACTGTATCAATTTCCTGGTACTTCACTCTGTATGTTCTGGTTCGCAGAACACCCGTTCTTGCCTCAAACAGCAATGAGCTTCCCCTAGAATTGTCATAAATGCTTTCTTTGGCAATAACTCTTTTGTTTAATCTATAGCTTTCCAGAGCCGTCTTTGTCTGCATTCCCTCTAGCCACCGATCTCTTTCTGTGGCCTTAACTTTCTTCTTAACTGAGACTTGCTCTTCCGTATCTTCGCTATAGCCCAAAAACTTTCCTCTTAATTTCCTAGTGCGCTGTCTCCACTTGGTGTCTACACTCCTCATGTATAAATAGCTGAAAACCTTTCGTGCCCATTGCTCCCCGTCCATTAGCCTCAACCTATCCTCAAATTCTACCTTGCTCACCGCTTCCCTGCTCTCAAATGATGCCCATCCCATGTCTCCTTGTACTCCCTGGTTTGGCGTTTTGCAATGTGCCCCCAAAGCCAGTCTACCTACTCCGCGCTGTTTTATTTCTAGTTTCGCATGCACTTCGGATTTCATGCATAGCACTGCGTTTCCAAAAGTCAAGCCAGGCACCATGACCCCTTTCCAAATCTCTCTCACCACCTCATACCTGTTGTAATTCCAAAGTGCTCTATTTTTCATTACAGCTGCATTTCTGTTGCCCTTACCTATTATATACTTTTCATGGTCTCTGAGATATTCTGCACCATCACATATCCATACTCCTAGATACTTGTATTTACTAGCTCTCTCAACTGTAATATTCTGTATCTTCAGCCTCTCAACTTCATCCTCGTTAAAAATCATGACTGCCGATTTTTCGCTACTGAATTCTAAACCTAATTCCTCTCCTTCCCTACCACAGATGCTCATTAATTCCTGCAACTCTGTCCTGTTGTTAGCCATTAGTACAATATCATCCGCATACATCAATCCCGGTAAGGATTGCTGAATTTTTTGGCCTAGCTTACTGTAAGAAAGGTTGAACCCAAGCCCACTCTCCTCTAGTCTACGCCGTGTAGTTGATAAGTTAACCGTTACGCCCCAAGCGGTTAACTTATCAACTACACGGATGGGGACAACAAATACAATGACGCAGCGCTCGGCCGACATAACCGAACGCGGCGTCAGCGTTCGACTGGAGTTCGTGTTCTCCGGCGAGGGAGAGGATGGGCTCTTTTGTTTCCAGGACGGCCTGCATGAACAATGCAGCATGCAGGATCCCAGCTTAGCACAAAAGCCGAAGTGGGTCAAGCTCGCATTCTCAGAAGATAGATCCGGCACTTAACGTCGCTTCGTCGATTGTTAGTATTTTTTACATTAAACTGTGCCCCGCGCTCTATTGTAGAAGATGACATGGCCATGCCCATAAGGCCTGTTGGCATGTGCACAGGCCTTGTGTTGAGTAAACACCGAGCGTGGGGAAAACAAACGGGTCAAAGCGCCCCCTATAGTTCGATCTCCTGCCCAATACGTGGGTGCCATCTATCCCCGTGCGAGAGAAGCGTGCTCAGTGCGCCGAACATGATGAAGTCGCCGCGCGAGACAGAGTCATCACCTAAATGTATTTCTTTCACCGTAGTTGCCATTAAAGCTTTTTACAAGGGATTACAATTATTTTTTCTGCTGCATATACCGGTCACTGAGGTGTCCACATCGACAAACTCCCCTCCCCCTGTAGCCGAATCCCTTGCACCAAACATGTGGCAGCCTCTCCGTGGTCGCCGCTACCAGATTATCAATGACCGCAATATGGCGTCCTCACGGGGATTTTTTCGTGCTACCCAACGGGCATAAACACTGGGGTCCCGACTAGGCCATACCCACGTGCAACCAGACGTCCGACTGCTTGTACGGCGTGTCAAAAAGACTGCTTAACCCAATCGGGCGCCGGTCAATCGCTGGGTTGCGTGCATCCACGCGACGCAGTGATTGGTCGGCATCTGATCGGGTTGTCTTTTTGGCACGTCCTAGGACCAGCTGGTCGCGCAGGGTATGGCCTGACTTTCACTGGTTATCAACCGTTGGGTGAAACGAAAAACCTCCTGCAAGGGCACCATTTTGCAGTAAACGGGCTGGAAGCAGGCGGCCAAGAGCTTTCGGCTACTGGGCGAGTCTCTAGAGAAGGTGAACATATCCGCCTACCTCAAAGTGACCAGTATATGCGGCACAATTAAATCAATTGTGAATCACTATTGTATGCTCCTAGTCCGCAGAACACCAGAGGCAGGACGTCATTGCAGCAGGATGCAGTCAAGCGTGTTGAATGAAGCAGGGAGTGGCTTCTATTTTTCTGTAGGACACTATGCACTTCTATCTTCAGTTGGACAATCTAGCTCAATGGATTCAATGAATGGTGGGCCACTTGTTTTCACAGATCCACTCTCGTTGAAATAAAGCATAGTGAATTCATTGAAAGGAACCCAGATTAAAGAGACTGTCCGAAAACCTTGTTTGTAAATGTAAGGGAACTATGTTTTTAGTGACCCTGCCACACTGCAGCAACAGCAACTGTTGGAAAGCAATTTGCCGTTGGGCAACCATCTTTTCCGACTTGACATTTAATAGTTCGAGAGGACGCCCACCACTGCATGCGTGGTAACAACGGGAATCCCCTACCCTGCATTTTTGTACGCCTCTGCGTGAGGTCTTGCTGGAAACATGTTGCTACTACAAGATGACAGTGGCCAGCGTTCGTGGTTGAAAAATCGTTCACCAGGAGTAGTTTCCTTCGATTTTGTCAAACGCTCTCCGTTTGCCGATGAAACAGCTGGCTTCATTACAAAAGATGAAAATGCCATTATTTCCAAGTTTCTTGCGAGCATATAGGGTTTGCATTCAAACTTTTACCGTTACAGAAGAAGTCATTTTTCGTTGACTGTAACCCAAAGCAATTTGTTAGATGGGTGCACAGCTGAGCAAAGTTTACAAATTGCGACTGACAGTCTGGCCCTCACTCACCAGAATATGTTAACGTGCTGTCTATTACCCTGTCCTACCTCTTTAGCAATACTTTTGATTGGCAAAACCTCAGAGATATGGAAACAACTGTAGTTGTTTTCAAATCTGAGGCGACGTCATCCGTTGCGGTTGTGACCCAAACACGACCGCCAAAAGTGGCACTTACTAGGCACCGCGCGCAGTTTAAACTACATACACTTGGTGTAGCGTAAAACATACGCGTGACAAACAAACCGGGAGTAGCTAGCAAACGGTATGCGACAGATTGCGGGGCAAGATGGCAGGACACGGAGAGACCGGATCCGAAACCGCTACCATTGTGGCCAGGTGCTTTACAGGGATGCGCTGAATGTACCATACAAAAACTTTCTAATTGAAATTTGTGTTAACATACGCATATAAAAAGAAACTACATTGTAGTATTAATTTTTTCTTCTTCCAATAATGCAAAAAAAAAAAAGTTATTTTTGGGGAACTTTAGGGTATTGAAGGTATGGAAAATGCCCTTTGCAAATTCAAGGCTTCCAAGGCCCTGTGCAAACCAACTGGCTCACAGAGACGGCACCGGTGCTGTTGGTCATATTGCACCCTTAGTACCTCAACCGTGATGGGACAGTTGAGCAACAGAGCAAAATATATTGCTTCCTCGCTTCTGAATGCAACCTCTTTCATGACGGCTAGAGGCAAACAACCGAATGGGGTCCTAAGGTATGGGAGAGGCCTGCTGCTCCTAACCTGGCGCGTCTGCTTAGCGTCGTCTGGGACAGAATGGAGTTCGTGTATAGATCTCTGGGACTTGTGTAAATCGGGTAGAGCTACCCCACAGGCTTACGAAACGTAACCACCAAGCGAGGTTCGAGGCATGCACCCAAGCAGTCTAATCTAACTTGCTCGGTTAAAGGTGGCGTTCCAAACATTGCTTGCTGGGAGCAACGACCGAGTGAACCTTGCGTGTGGCTATGGGTAGCGGGGCGAGGTTATAAGTGTTTCTCTGGGAGACGGCTCTAACTGCCTTTCGTCCAACTCACCGAATCCCATGTCGTCGTCCTCCTCCTCGGACTCTTCCTTCTTCTCCTCTTTCTTGGGGGCTGCAAGTGCACAACACACCTATTGTCACAAACCCTCCCCCCTGCTTGCAACACCAGTTCGTTCCCAATGTCAAGGCAGCTTTGTACCTCCACATCCTTTGACCACCAAGGCAAGTTTGCACTAACTACCGCTTTCCAACGGAACAAAGCAGTGACCATAACGTTGGCTGGAGTGATAACCTTGGCCAGTGATTTTTTCCGAAAGACAGGTTTGAGCAAGCTGACAAGACCTGCTAGGAGATATTCTGCTCCTTCCATTTACCTGCACCTGTGCAGGCAAATCGAGACTAGCCGAGGTGTATCTGTCGGCTGACCAGGCAAACGCGCGGAATGAAGAATGCGCTTGAAACTTGGCAGATCACAGCAGAGTAGCGTTCCATCACAACTGGACTCCAGTCCCGACTCGTGAGCGCTGAAGAGCGGCACGTCACCAAACACGTGCTCGCCGGCACATCAAGCATGGCTTCAACGGCATCCTCCGATCACACTACCGTCTTCTACAGAGAAGATTACCACGCTCCCCAACTTGTTCCGAAACAAACGAGCAGAACCCCGGTCACTCACCGTCCTTGCCTCCGGTCGGTGCCGCGGCAGCCGCCCCGGCGGCGGGAGCTGCGGCCGCGGCGGGTCCGGACCCGACACCCGAACCCACGTTCGAGATGAGCGCCTTCAAATCGAGTCCCTCGAGCGCCTTGGCGAACAGACCTGGAGAGAGAACGCAGAGATCATTGACGTCTCCGCCAACGGGTCCTGGGCGCCTCCGCCGAGCGCTGGGGCCTCCCACGTACCGGGCCAGTAAGGCTCAACCTCGACACCAGCAGCCTTGAGGATCGTGCTGATCTTCTCAGCCTGTCAATGGGAAGGGAGGTGAAAATTAGCTACCAAGCTAGGAGCACGTCGCAGCCATCGCGAGCATCGCGACAGCGGGGACGCGCACGCTACTTACGGTGACTGCAATCTCGTCGTCCTGGAGGATAAGGGCGCCATAAACGCACGCGAGCTCGTCGTTGGATGGCATTATGACTTGTTACTGCGATGAGTAGTGGTGGATGGCAAAAATTAACGGTGTACGCTGCTGGATTCAGCCTTAGCCCCCTCGGAGAACGATACACCTTCCTGCCGCAATGGAATCGGAAAGAAAGAGGAACTAGTCGAGAACAGTGTTGCCAGATGGAGAAAAAAAAAGTCAGCAGATTGATCCCCAAAAAGTCAGTAGATTTGCACAAAAATCAGTAGATTCCACGAAATATGTGTTTTGCCATGTTTTGCTATCTCCATTAATACACACTTCGAAGAAATAGTATAGAGTAACAAATAACATGGTAATAAAGACAAATAAAAATGAAAGAAAAACACAAGACCAGTTCTCGAGTAACTTTATATGAAGGACAAATTAAAATGGCTCCATAAATGTTTTTGTTTTAGTCATTATTGACTGTTTTGAGGATTATTCTTTGAAATCGAGACTGAGGGCACTTTTGGGATCACAGATGAAGGCGACAGTGCGACGTTCACCTGTCGCTGTTATTGAAACGAAACCGAAACAAGGCGCTCCGGCAAGTGCGCGCGAACATGTCCATTGGAGGTCCTCTGCATGCTGCCATCTTTCCTTACTGGGCTGTGGAAGGTTTTTGAAGCAACGCTGTTGTCCTGAGCACTGTTGAGGCTACGCGTCATCTGCTACGGGCTTATTTCTTTTTCGCCTGAGCCAAAGTTTGCGTTCAAACGCGGAGAAACTTCATTCGTTAGCTTTTTAAGCCACCGAGGAATAGGATTATATCATTTTCTTGCCAGAACCTGCCAAATAAAAAAAAAATAACTGAAATTTGGATGTCGATCCCATGCATTCCGCCGAACGAATGCATGAAAATTGCGGCTCTCTCCGCTCAACTCAAAGCTATTCTAGTAGATTGCATAGGAGCAGCCGAGAGTTCAGGCGCATGCGCAAACACCTCTCGCTCTGTGCCGCGGCCTGATTGGCTCACTCGGGAGAGGGACGTTACGGCGAGATCATAAGCTAGCCAAACTCTCTCAATATATGGCTCTGGCCCGGATGTCACCGTCGAACCTGCCCAACCTGACGAACCTGCTCTGGGTGAATAGATGGATGAATATACGGCTACGTCACTCGAATAGGACGGGCTTCTGGGCCATCTAGCCAGAGCTTCGTTTTTAATTCTGGGACATTATGAGTTTCCTTTGATGGGCGACACTGGGAACTGAAGGGGCCATATAATAAATTTTTAATATGTTTACTAAAAAAAAGTCAGTAGATTTTCTTGTTTTTCAGTGAATCAGTAAACCCGGAACGAAATCAGTAGATCTACTGATAAATCAGTAGACCTGGCAACACTGGTCGAGAAGTCAACAGTCAGCTTCCGGTTTTTGCCTGCGAGCGTTGCTAGACCAGCTTGGCCTGGGACGCTGACTGCACGTTTTCTAATTTCCAATGTCGAAAAACAAAAACAAAATGTGTAGTACAAAAATGTTATATAAAACAAATTTTTGTGAGCTTGATTAAAAAAGCAGCTTTTAGGAGCTTCATTTATAATCATCGGTGATTTACAAATACTCGCCAGGGTCCACCACCAGTCTCCTTGTTCCGGCTATGTTCCGGTTGTTCCATAGCTTCCGGGCTTCCGTTCTTTCGGCCGTCCGTGCCTGTCCTTGTGAAACTTGTGTTCAGGACTGTCGATTTCTAATTTCTTTTCAGAACGTGCACACTACTGTAGTGTTTTGCGGCGCTATGGCTACCGAAGGTATGTGTCGGATGCGCACTAAAATGTCCGCTTGCTTGTAGTAGTAGCCCCTCTGAAGGGTGTCCGTCTACGACCCCGGCGCAGTGCGCGCAAACCCGCCTCGCACTCGAAAAAACGAAACACAAAAACGTTACCTTCTTCGTGCGAAGAAAGAAGTTGCGTCCGTCCGTGCCATCGGCTTTTCGTGGAGCACTCTGAAGTGCCCCATGTACCGAAGGAGCGCTCTCTTGTGCGGCAGACTATCGTGACAGCCCTAGTGTATGTTCGTCCATGATAGAAGCAGCATGCGCGGCTGGCACCGAAGTTGAGCTGATGACGTTGGCTGGATCGCGTCCCGTTGCACTAGTCGGGTGTCTGGAATGACTTGCTCTGAGGAGCTTGACGTACAAACCCCATCCACCTTAAATGTCAACCTTAATGTCCGATTTGCATGGTGCCATTTTGCTCGTGTGACGTCAGGCACCGCAATTTCCACCCCTCTTCTTGATGCACGAGCGACGGTGCAAATACGGAATCGCGAGTAAAACCGCGGTCAGCGCGCGCTTGCACGTCGGCGAGCGTCCCAACCCACTCGAAGAGCTGACCGTATTTTCCGGGCTGCAAGTCGCACGTAGTGGGGTGGTCAGTTGGCCGGGTTGGTACTGATTAAACATTGTTACAGAGGCGCGCAAAACAAAGACTGAGAAGAGAAACACGCAGTCAAGGGACAAGTGCGCTTGTCTGTTGTCTACGTACGTGTTTCTTTCTCAGTCCTTGTCTTTTTGTGCGCATCTTTCATCACGTATAAGTTCCACTTTCATATATTGAGTCGTCTTTGTGGACGATATGGTGTAGAAGTTATTCAAAGGCACACCTATTAACATGGTTCACAAGATGAGTATTTCCTTATTACGCACATCGGTATAGCGAAATTGAAGTTTAGCACAATCGGCGAGTTCTCGCCTATCGTTGGACGCGCAACCACTTTGACGTTTCGACTTGTGAGAAATGTTCCAAGTACAGCACTGTTTGGCAGAGGCAATAGAGTGTTTCGCAGCAAAAAAAGTCAAATGTGCGAAATGAGAAGGTAGTCGGCTTTATTCGAGCCTTCTCATGCCGAGCGAACGGCATGAGAAGGCTCGTGAATCAAGCTTTGCACCTCTAGGCCTAGCTACGGCCAAGTCACGGAGACGACACGAGCATCAACGCACAGGCAGATGGATGGACCTTGGCACACTTCTTTTGGCGCCGCTTAAAGATTGGCTAGCTGCAATCCTTTCTTTTACATGTAGCAACATAACTGGAGCATCGCAGAAAAAAAAACAGCTTCTCAAATGGAAACTAAGAAAGATGCGAGAAACTTTTCTGCAATGCGTGTTTACCAGCCCACCTACCTTTCAGTGTTACTGATAACATGTTGTAAAAGCTTTATTCTCACTGCCTTGCCTATCCACATTGAAGGGCCCCTGAAAAAAAAAAATCTTTCTTTTAAACAGTCTGGTTGGGACACGTGTGTCAAAAAATAAATGTTTTGCGAAAAATAAAAATTCTTTAGAGCAATATTGAAGGTGAGAGATATATTTGAAATTCTGCGCGTTAAGTCCATGACGTCACGGAATGGTCATTCACTCAACGAGATGGTCATTTGCCTTTTCCGCCTCTACGTGAAGGAGCAGCCGATCACCTTTCCTCATGCGCCCGAAATGCCGAGAGAGAAAACAAGTGAAAAAAAGTGACTACCGACTAAATCGCGTCTAGCGCCATAATATTGCTCTAAATTTGTTTTTTCTTTTTTTGTAAAATTAATTTTTTTTTTGTGGAGCGCTCTACGAATTGTGTTTATCAAGAGTTAGACGTCAGTAGAGCAAACAGGTTTTATCAGCTGCATCCAGATTAACACCAAGAAGGGTGAAAGGCTTGCATTTTTTAAGGTTATTATAATGCAATTAGATGCAAAGGTGCAAGCGAGCTGGACAAGAATGTCGAAAATAATCCCTGGAGAAGGGGAACAAAAGGGGACAAAGGACAAACACAGCTAGGTGACTGGTGCGCAGCCGAAAAAATCCACCTGGTCTGGGTATTGAACCCGGGACCTCCACGCATGTCCCAACCACTATAAAAAGAACTTTTATTTTTTTTTTATTTTCAGGGGCTCTTTATGTTACTTCGGGAAAACCGTCGCATTCCTCGCTTTTTGAGTCATGTAGTTGTGGTGCTCTCCAAAAGATGGCGAGTGGCACATTTAAAAAAGAAGCATCGCACTACGAAATTTTGTTGAAAAAACTTGTATATAAGTTGCATTGTTGTATAGAGCAAACAAAAAAAAAAAAAAAAAGATTTCTGCACTGGAAAATACAATAATTTTGTTTGTTGCCTTAACCTGGCGGCATGCTTGGAGCATTCTATCACAGCTCTACCTTGTCGCCTCACACGATCGGTCAAAGTAAGTTGGATCCACTCGACAACATTTGGAGCACGGCTGAAGGCCTGTTCAGGAGCTGCCAGTGGGTGGATGCAGACGGTGTCTCTCTGCTTGCCTTGTGCCGATCGCTCACCAGCAAGGTGCCAGCGCGTCGCCTTTCACGACAGGAAATGCTGGGACAGTTGTGCTTGCAGCACGCTTGCTCTCAGCTAACGTTTCAGTTGCAGCCAAAGGAGGTGACTAGCAAAGCTATGCACCACTGCCGGCGTTTATCTGCTAGCTTATTGGCGATCTTCATTGCATGTTTTCAAACCTATTTTCGCTGCTCCCTGTTTAGACTGCCAGGCGCTGTTAATACTTCATCCGCTTTTATAAGCTGGTGGAAGAACCTGCCCATAACCTCCGAGATGCTTGGCACACAAAGCTTTCCTCCCACCTTTCCAAATGCTCGGCTGGCCAACAGAAGAAGTCTATAGTGCAGCTTCTCTAGAGCTATGCAAGGCGGTGTTCGTATTGAGGCAGCATCAGGACCTCAGTGGTCAAATATGTGGCATGGAGCTGGGGAGCGTGCCCATGTTGAGACACGATTCAAGTGCCACTCGGCTCGTGCGCTGGCTGTGGCAGTGCTTTCTTTCACCCATTCCTTACTAAGAAGTGGCTTCTAGCAAGCTGGCCCTGAAAAGTTGAGAGAAAAGCGATAAATGACACAACAGAAATCGTGGGGGAAATTAAACAATCTCGAAGATATCGCGAAAGGGACAATGTACCTTGAAGTCCCAAAAGAGTGAGACGAAAGAACCGCCTTACCTTCTACCCAGTGATGCAATTTGCATGAGGATAATGAGCATGGCATTTTTCTGTCCAGTCTCGTGGATGAAAATTACACATGAAACATTGAGTTACCTGGCGGTTTTCCAGAACCTCTCATACTCACCGGAATCAGCCAATCAGCGTCGATCACATAGGCTTTCCACCAGTCAATCATACCTCGATAAACCTCACTCATGAGGGCCCTCACGCACCCTCATCTTCACAGGTGAGATGAGGGTCAGTGAGTACCGTGAGGGCTGTGAGGACCGTGAGTGTGTGAGGGGTAGGAGTGCGTGAGGGCGGTGTGTGCGTAAAGGGTAGGAATGCCGCGAACCACCCTAGGTTCGATTTCAATATTTTCGGACCGAGCTGATGTTCGAATTCAAAAGGTTTCGATATTTTCGACCGTACGGAGATTCGAATTCGAAAAATTCGCAACTTTCAAAAATCATGGAGTTTCGAATTCGAAAAGTTCGAAGCTTTCACGGTTTCTAAAAGTTCGGGTTCGATTATTTCGAATATTTTTTTACTTGAGGTTCGAGAAATTCGAAGATTTCGAACTTTCCTAACTTGAAATTCGAAAGATTCAAATGTTTCAAATTTCTATGGATCTGAAATTCGAAAAATTCGAACGTTTAGAATTCTTATTCACCGATGTTTGTTTGCAAACAAGCTCACTACCACCCCCTATTGGCGGACCCCTGCGCGCTTCCGGTTTTCCTCTTCTTTTCCATTTGTCTTTTGTCCATTTGTTATTTGCACTACTTTCTACAATGCATTAATGTTCTTACAAACATACTACAGAAACTTTTCTAAAAAAAACTCTTCTTACACGACCGCTGTGCGTTGCTGAAGAATAAATAAATACACTACCGGAAGTCTACTGGGGCACCAAATACTGTGGCGCCCTCGTGGTATCAACGCCCACCGAATGGGGTGAATAGACATGAAGTTTGATAAATTCGAAGATTTAGAATTTCTTTCTACATAAAGTTAGAAAAGTTTGAAGGTTTCGATTCTCTTTTAGCGCTAAATTCGAAAAAGAAACTTAGGTTTCGAATTTCTTTAAAGTCCAAGTGCGCAAAGTTCGAAGTCCGGTTTTCATGTTCCGCCACAGTTTCAGTTTCAAATAACGTTTTCATGCCTCTCTGGTTTTCACGAAATCAGGTTTAGAAATGTTCGGGTGTGATATTCAGATTGCGCGAAGTTGGTCAGGCAATTAAATGAGACGACAAGGGTCCTGGATGTGCTGGATTATTTGCCAGTGCAGAGTGACGTGTGCAGATCAGTAATTGTGACCGCCAGCCTGGGGTGGTCATTAACGTGCATCACGAAGTAGTGATCCTACGAACGCACTGTTTAACGATACTCATCCAGTTTGAAACGGCAAGGGGCAGGCAGGTGGTTGAGGCTAAGAAAAACCTTAAAGTGATCTGGGAAACTGCCCCCCCCCCCCCCCCCCCCCCCCCCCTACCCCCTTGCACGCTGGTAGTAATCCGATCGAACGCCGCCCGAGTGACGCTGCCATATAGTAAGTTTAGTTTGTACATGATGCAAAATCCTGAGACTGGGAATGAAATTATAAAAAAAAAGTGTAAGAAGACAGAAAAAAGGGGACAGGAAAACGTCTCAAATTCAGCTCAGGACAACATCTCAAATTCAACTCGGCTGAAAACTCAGCTCAGGAATAACGTCTCAAACTTAACTCAGCTGAGTTTGAGACGTTGTCCTGTCCCCTTTTTTCTTTCTTCTTACACTATTTCTTTCGAATTTCATTCCCAGTCTCGGGATTTTGCATCATGATCAACATACACCAGCTCTCTTGCACCTTGACAATTTTTTAGTTTGTAATTGTTTTGGAGGTTTATTTTCGGAGACGGAAGAAACGCCGAGCAAAAAGCAGAGAAGCCGATTCTCTGCAAGCCCCATTATGATGATTTGTTGCTGTTGCTCTTTACCTAGCGCCACTGCGTAGTAGAAGTTGCAGCGAGCTATTTATTTTTTTATGTCGGTCTTTCCCAGCAAATGCAAGGCCCGGAAGTGAGCTTTGCGCATCAAGAATCTCTGAGGCCATGACCTGCCGTGGCAGCTTTCGGTTCTGGCCAATAGGTGCCGTCGATTTCGCAGGAGTTGCTAATACCAGAGCGCCTTCATGTGCCCCTTACCTGTTGTGACTTGTATGAGACGTCGCATCCATGCAGAAAGCAGGGCTCACTCACTTTCAAGGGCTCCTCTGTGCTGGTAATCATCACTTAAAGGGGCACTGACAGGCTGTTTATGCTTGCCAAGGTTTTTATTTGTACATGGCCCATGAGAGCCCAACTACGCAGAACAGAATTCGGTTTCTCTCCGCCCGAAAACCGCCGATCGAGAACTGGCCGCTTTGAGTCGCACTCACTCTCTTTTCCGTGGTCACGGGCCTTTTCCTAAGGTTTAGACACAACCACCAAATTCAATCAAAGTCGTAGGTCATAGATGGCACGCAAACAATATTAAACATAGAAAAGAAATAGGATACCCATTTTCTGTGGCTTCTAAAAAGCTGCAAATGCTTTGTTTGGGGGGAAAAAAAGTGTCAAGGCCACACGACTTCCGCCACCTCTCTCCTCCTCTATATTTCTTCTTCCTCCCCAGTCCAGTTTCGGTTCCGAACAGTTGCGTTTTTTTTACTTTATTAAAAATATATGTGACGCTGTTGCAAAATATTGATGGAGTAGTCTTCTGACACCATAATGATTCGCCTGGCAAAAAATAAAAAATATGTTTTGGGGGTCTCAGTGTTCCATTAATGTGCATGTGGTGGTAGACGCTAGGCAACATCTGCTAGTGCTAATAGGTGTGTTGCTGTTCCCATTTCATGAAAGTCCACATAGTCGCAGTTGTCAAGGGGCTGTTAAATGGGAAAAGAGATAGCTTTCATTATCACTGGGTACATGAAAAGTTTGATTACATCTGTCTAGTTGTGGTACACGTAACAAAGTTGCGCCGTGTGGTGTCGGTGACCTGCTGCTGTTTAGCATCATGCACCGTGACAGATCGCATTCTATTCTTGGAAGTACTGGACGTGAATATCAGTCTACTTGCATATTCAGAACACAGTATTTTCATTTGCGATGATCCATTTATGTCTTGTAGCAAATTGCAATTTGACTTACGAATGCCGCTTGTTCGCCCGTTTATTATCGCGGGTCAACGAGAGCCGACGAGAGCCAAAGATGACAGTTCAGGGTCGCAATTGCGATTTTGACCGACGAGGATTTCACGAGAAAATTGCACGACCAAACGGTGCCACGGTGATCCCTGGAGCTCAACGAGGGACAAAAACATTGTGCAAAAGGTTCATTATTTTGCTGAATCGCTAGCAGAAGGACTTTAGAACAATGATGTTACTACCGTAAAATCCCGAGAGATAGCCCACCTAAAATCAAGAAAAAAATCGGGTGGAAATGTGTGGTGGGCCAACTTTCAGTGTACAATCAAGAAAAGTTGAAACCATTATATTTTTAGGTCATGCTTCCCTTCCAAGCTTGTTATTGTGGCGAGGGGCAACGAAGAAAATGCGACTGCTTCCCAGTCATCAATGATTGGGTATATCCCGCCGCAGCTAACTAGCCGCATTTACGCGCCGAGGCCATCATGGATCCCAGCACTACTATTACTAGAAGTGGGCTATCTTTCGGGGTTTAAAAAAATATAAAATCAAGCAAAACGTAGGGGTGGGCCACCTTTTGGGAGTGGGGCATCTCTCGGGATTTTACAGTAATCAATAACGCCTTAGGCCTACTACCAATATTGGCAATATTTCTGGCGAGCAAAACGTTGACGCGCCTGTCCGACGAGCGTCACAATTTATTTTGAGATAGATTAGCCCTCAAAGACACGCGGTGAAACTAGGGTGCCCGAAGTGCGTTTGCCGCGTACTCGTATGTGGTCTTTCATTTTCCACCCTCCAACGTGTTGCATCGAGGTCCTGTTGGACCCTGGAGGTGGCGCAGCACCCGCGGTGGATGTGGGCAGATGCTTGTTTCGTGTAGGATGCCGTTTCGCTCGACGGTCCGTGGAAGCTTTTGCTGCCGGGAGTCGAGACGTCGCTATGATGGTGACGCTCGCATTCACTTGTACTTTTTGCGGGAACTTCTCTGCGGGATCGCAACATCCGACGACATGGCACTCCGATTTTTGCGATGTCGTGTGTTACCTCTCGGGGACCGGCTTCAACGCGTGGGCAGTGCGGGGCGCTAAACGGATTGGTCGGAGCCGAGGTTCCAGGCGCCGCGGTGGAGTGGTGTTCGAGGTTCTGACGGGGCCGCACGTTTCTTCCCCGCAGGTAAGCAGCCGGAGCAGGACGCGTCATCGCTGACGGACGAAGATGAGAAGGTGCGCAAGAAGGAAGAGCGCCTGAAGCGCCGCAGGTTCAAGGACAACGAGGAGGGGGTGAGCACGCGCCATGAAAGGCCGTCGCCGAGAGCCGCAATCTGTTGCAGGTTTAGAGCGGCCGGGACGACCCCCCCCCCAATAAGTTCTCTGCCCACCGTCATTGGTTCTTTCCTCCGCTCGCCTCCTCTCTGGCCTTGCTAAAGCGGAAAGGGCGAAGGGCTTTGGTGGGAGGACTTTGTCCTGCTGTCTTTAACTAACAACAGACCATAGTTGGTACGTTGCAAGAATGCTCGAAGCAACGGGGAACAAGGACTGGAAAGGACACATACGCCCTATTTTGACCTCTTCTCTAGTTGTTCTCTGGCGCTTTCGGCATTCCAAGTCCAGTAGTCTGGGCATTTTTTTTGTTGGTCTTCGCCGAGAAATTGTGGGTCTTATTTCGGACAAGCTTGTTTTTCGTGCGAGTCTTTTGACGAGGGCCGCATGCCGCGTTACGTCTCTCAAACATTTATTCTCCCTTAACCTGCCTCTGCCTTTTTGCGTAGACACGTATGTTTCATTCCCGTCAAACTTATGTTTCTGGGCACTTCTACAGTAACTGCACTGGTGGCGTGGCTCCTTTTGTGCATTGGTCGGTTCTTCTCGGGCTCGGGCACTTTTGCTGACACTATGGTCGTACTTTTAGCACACTTTACGAGCCATTCTAGTTTGCGGAGAACTGGGTTTGTGCGAGCTAATGAAGACGTCTAATGGTGTTGCACAACCCAGTTTTAAGCCTCTATGAAACAACCAGTTCTGGAAACATGAAGTGTGCCATCGTAGTTAGAACTTCAAGTGGTGCTGTGGCCGAACATGAGTAGTTGATTCGCTCTTAGGACTCTGCCAACCTGAAAGCCTGGTTCTGTTTGGTTCCTTGGGTACTTGTGCTCAGTGAGGGAGTATAATGCAAAGCCATGCGCTGCAACATAAATGCTGCACTAATAACTTCTTTTTTTTTTTTTTTAGGTGGAAAGATATTTTTGTGGCTTTCATGCCCAATCTTAAAACTTAAACAACGAAAAAAAAAAAAAAAAATTTGGGAGTTTGTGTGTTTTTAGAAGTATGGACTAGAATGTAAAGAATCTTCCTAGTTGATTTTCACACTGGATGATTTTCTCGCATCTTGCTCGAATATTCTGTCTCGAAATCCTAAAAGCTGCACTGTGTCAATTTTCTTTGCGTGCTCGGTGGGGGCTCATGGCCAGCACTGAGCGACTGCGTGCCTCTCGTGTTTTTCAGCGTGAGTATGAGTGTCTCCTGTGCGACTGCAAGTTCTTCACAGTGTCGCAGTACAACGTGCACATTCAGACCTACGAGCACCGCAAGCGCAAGGTTGGCAAGATCTCTGCGGGTGAGTGCGTCTGACATAGACTGTGGCTCCCCTCGGGCTTTGCTTTGGCGAGACCCGGAGCAACTTCGAGGACCCTAAAGGCTGGTCCGGGCGTCGTCGTTCAAATGTGACCGACTGCGTTGGGACTTCTTACATTCCACTACGACATGTTGCATGAATTTGAAACGTCTGTGCACGCAGCATTTAAAATGCTTCCACTCCCAAACTAGACCGAAGGTCTTTTTGCTATTTTTGACATCAAATCTACGCACTATCTACGGGGAAGTATCACTTACGACACGTCGACTGTGGCTGTCGGAAGTGAGCTAATTGGAGGACTCGCGTAAATTTCACCAATAAAATGGCACATGACGCCTGCCCCGTCGTTTCCGTGGAAAGACGTATTTCATTATTTTATACCCTCTCTCCAAAATTAATTTATCCTTAGCTAGCCGCGAGTGTGGCACCCTTCTCACAGCGTTGACCCTGCAGAGTTGGAGAGTAGAACGTCCGCCTTCTCGTCGCACATTTCGACGTCCTCGGAATGGCGGGGCTCGGAGGCTGACAACTGTCGGTGGTCCCGTCCGGCCTGCAAAGCTTTAACAAACGCGGGGAAGCGGCAAAAACGTCGGCCGCACGGTGGATACCCGGGGGCACCGACGGGACGAGGACGGCGTCTTCCTCGGACACCCGGCTTCCGATACGTGCTCACCGCCTTTAGCCGTGCTCGGGCCGCGCATGCACGCCGGAAGCTCTCGGGTGCCCGAGCGCGATCGAAAGTGCTCGCACCGAAGGCGGGACGACCGAAGGACCTCCGCACCATTTTCGCCCCGTCGGTGACCTTCGGCACGTACGGTCTGCCGCGCTCTGCTGTTCCTCGCCGGTGCCTACCCCAGTGCAGTCCGCGATTCTGCCGGGGGAGGTGCCCTTAATGAATCCCTCCCCTCCTTTGTTCCCTTCCCCGTTTCTTTGTGGTTTCTGCGGACGTCCCCGAAGGAGCCAGGAGGGACAACCCGCCACCCCGCAGCCCCCTTGCCCCCTCTTGGCCCTTCCGCGGTAAGGGGCGGGCTGGTGCAGCGGACGGTGCGTTTCCAATGTGGAGCGTGACCTCCTACAGTCGCCGACCAATGTTTTGGACTTCGCAGGGACCGAAAAAACATCAAAATAACGAAGCAGTTCGAAAAATCGGTAGATAGAAAATCTTGCCTTTATTACATCTAAGCGGGCTAAAAAAGCTGTAAATGCTGCCTTGCTTCAGGTTACGCCCCCGTTTGTGTTCAGCAACTCTCTTTTAGCTTGAGAATCGCCGCCTTCTTTTCTGGCGTTATGGTTGAGTACTTTCTGCGCTTCTTAGCGACGGATCGCGGCGGCGGAAGAAAAGAGGGGGCAGTGACGTCCAAGCCACCATAGTCCGAAAACACGATTCACCGAGACGAGATCGAGAGGAGATACGGCAAGTTCGTGACTGCAATGGCGACTGAACAAAGCATAATGGGAACAATAATGATGATGATAATGACGTGCAGCTGGAGAAAAAAAAAAACAAACAACCGAAAAGCATCACCTAGCATGACTTACCAGTATTTATATAGCGCTGCCAAACCAAGCCAATTCATGTGCAGCCAATATACAATCCAAAATGGCTGCTTCTCTGTGGTTTTTTACCTGCTGATCGCTTTCCGCCATCCAGTCTTCACGTGCGTACACAGCTTCTAATACGTCCCATTCTTTTTCCCCACTGCCTTCAGGACGCCGGCAAACGGCCAAATTTTGGGCAACTCTTAGCAGCCAGTGCAGCAATCTCATAGTCTGCGGAGCGACTATGAGATGCGCTTGCCGTGCCCCGTGTTTCTTAACTCTTTCCTTACTGGGCATATCAGTCAATTTGATAGATGGATTTCAAACCTCTATTTTAGCGCGTTCAGTGCCTTTTTGAGAAACATGGCACCGCCTAGGATGCTATGGAGGAGCTCTACTTTTAAAGGGACGCTGACAGGATATTTATGCTTGCCGAAGTTTTTAGTTGTACGTGACATATGGGAGCCCAACTACCCAGAACACAATTTGCAGCTCGAAATTCGTTTTTTTTCCGCCCGAAAACCGCCGATCGAGAAATGGCCGGTTTGAGTCGCGCTCACTCTCTTTTCTATGGTCACGGGCCGTTTTCTCAGGTTTCGACACGACCACCAACTTTAATCAAAGTCGTGGGTCATTGAGGCACTCAGTCAATACTAAAAGTAGAAAAAAATATGAAACACAGTTTTTGTGGCTTCCAAAAAGCTGCAAATACATTCATTGAAAAAAAAAAAAAAAAAAGAGGTTGCACAGACAATTAGAAGCATTCTGTGCGTTCACTGCATAATTGTCAATGTGGCGTCGTTTTGCGTTTCGTTGGACTTGCGGGTGGCAGCGGACGATGGCCGTGGGACTTTACTTCAGAACTGTTTGTCACGGTACCGGCGAATTCTGTCTTCCTTCTAAAGAGAAATTTTGGACCGATCAAAAGAATTGGTATTCATCCCGTACGACACGCCCAACCAGCAAGCCGATTGCACGAAGACGTCGCCGAGCCGTCGTCCCTTCTCGTGGCTGAAGACATCGCTCGCTCAAACGTCAAGCATGAAGTGCGTACCTCGACTTGAACACGCACGCGTACGGTTTTTTTACGAACTGCGAATGTGACCGATGCGTGGTGCTGCCCGACTTCAAGCCAAGAGTGCATGTACCGGAGGGAAATCGGCAGCAAGCTTTCCAACACACAGTCGACCAGATGCATTACTACGAACGAAAGAGTTCCTTCAGTACAGTATAGACCACTTACAACGTAACCGCTTATAGTGCAGGACCGGGTATAACGAAACTTTTTTAAACCACCGGTTCGCCTCCCATAGAACTCCATGTAATTACGTACTGCTTAAAATGCAGGCGCGCGAAGGGAAATGCCGGTTATAGTGCGGTTTTTGGAACAGCGCGTCGACTGACCGGCGCAGCGAGCACGCTTCCCTGTGCGACACTAGATAACGGCACGAGCCGCAAGCGGCGCTAGCGGGGCATGGAGATGGCTCGAAGAAGCGGGGAGAAGCGAAGAGAGGCGCTTCAGTTGGGGCCATAGCGACGGAGGGACACACGCACGTGTTGTTCACGAGCGTGCGTCCCTCCGCTGCGTTGGAAACAAACAACCGCAATGACAGACCAATCGCAGGTCGAGGAGAAGGGTTCGCGCGCGTTGCATGCCGGTCGCGGGCCGGCTGCTTCTATCCGCAAACATGGCGTCGGTTGTGATTGTCGACGTAGACGGCATGGTGGAAGCTCATCGTTCCGCTTAAAAGCGCTATCCTTGACTGTGAATTTTCGTTGTGTGTTGCTATGATAATTCAGCATGTACTAGAAGGGAAGATTCACCTACTTGTGCGGCGATGTTGTGGCGCCACTCTCAAGACGGCAGAAACGTCCGTGTTGTGGTGTTTGTTTACTTCGACCACAGTGGTGCTTGTGTTTTCGAACATAGCCCGGATTTTTTATCTGGAGCATTTCATGCCTGTGTTCAAGTGAAGGTATTACTGGCGCATACCGTAGAAATGATGCAAATTTTCGCTCGTTTTCATCGCCGGAGAAAAGCGATTAAGGTTAGAATCCGGAACGCTCGCAACGTCCGTCTGCAACCCGCGACGCCGTTAAAAGGCTGCGCCAGGCAAAAGTCGCTCATTTCTTTCAAAATGTGTGACACACTTGAGAGACAAGTGTATTAGTCTGGTGAAATAAAGACTTTCCTCGAACTAAGCTTTATTTTTCATTAACATAAAATAAATTCTTTTACAAAGGTAAGTTGTCTGATGGCATGTATTTTGGCCTGAAAAATTGATGTTTTGGTTATAGCGCCGTACCGCTTATAGTGCGGATTTTCGCGACTCCCGCGACATACATTATATGCGGTCTATACTGTAGCTCAGTGGAAAGACGTCCGCTTCACAAGCTGTGGGCATGGATTCAATCCCTAGTTTGGGCGTACTATTTCTTTTAAACATTTTGCAGTGCTTACATGTCTTTTTTTTTTACAATTATCATTGAAAAAAAAACAACAGTTGTTGTGGATGATACATCGCTGAACTAAATAGTATGGAATTCCATTTTTTGGCACCTCTGCCGCACAATGCCACTTTCAGATGCAGGACATGTGAGGCAGCTCTTCACGCAACATCTTGGGAGTTATTCTTTTCGGAGCCGATCACGGGAATTGATCACGGACACTCACTACTAATTGCCAACACTTAAATGTACAAAACAACTCATCTTGAAGTACAGAACAGCGAGCAGAACAAACATAACTGCAAAGGAATCGCATGGCAAACAAATCCCGAACGCTATTCGTCTGCTGTATGCAGAAGAAAAAAAAAAAAGAAAAGAAAATCGCACGGTTGTGTGTAGCCACGTAACGTTCGGCACTCACTCTCTCCTCTCCACATCTCCGTGCGGTGCGTGGGTTTCGGTTTCAGTTTCGAGCAGTTGCGTTTTTTTGGCTTCATTAAAAAAATATGTGACTCTGTAGCAAAATATTAATTGGATAGTATTCCGACACTATAATAAATCGCCAGGCAAAAAACAAAAAAAAAATTTTTGGGGGGTGTCAGTGTCCCTTTAAGTTTCGCCTTTCCGCGGAGTGACAATTTTTGGTGCGACTTTAAAGCTGAAGATTGTGAGCGATTGCATTGAACACGCCGTCCTCGTTGCGCGTCGACGCTCTTCAAAAGCATCGTCCGACTCGCGATTCTGGTGCATATGCAATAAGTTTTGTGGACGAGAGTGTGAGCAGTGAGTCAGCGGATGACATTGATTCGTTGGCTTATAGTTTCAATCGTGGCAGCAGGTCAGACCAATCGGGATTATCCCCAGATGCTCGTCGCTATGTTTTTATTTTTGTGTGCCGCATTTATTGCCCCTCTAAGCTTCCGGGGACGCACGGGGCTTCTTCCGCACACATTATGTTTCATCCACAGGATGTAGACCTTATATAGACACTATTCTATACCGTTAGCAGCACAAGGAGTGTAGTTTTTTTTTTAAAAGGCGGCTCGGTCCCGACTTTGGCACGATGCCACTAAGTGGCACATAACGCGTCGTTCGGGGCTTCGGGGGGTGGTACAGTCTTCGGGGGGGGCTAACTTACAATGGGAAAGCATCAACTGTCGCATGGAGCGAAGCCGACAGTACTGTAGCAGCACAAAACGGCACCTAAATTTTCATTTTCCCATTGGCTGAGTGAGACGGTATCTAAAGTCTTATTGGCTGCTACGCATCATATCAGATGCTTCGTCACAGAAGCTGATGAGGCCGCTCGAGGTCAAAGTGGACGCGCGTTCAGAGATAAAACAGAAAGAAAAGCACAGCAACGCAGATGCATCGCCACAGAAGACGGCGGGGTTGCTGAAGGTCACAGCAGACGTGTCTTGGTAATAAAACACAAAGAAAAGCGCAGCAACCCAGATGCATCGTCATGTAAGCCGGGGAGCCGGCGGGGTTCGCCGTGCCTGCGCCGTGGGGGGAGCGTGATGTCACTGCCAGAGCGCAGTGTGAAAAAGGAAGACATGGTGCGCTGCTTGTAGGAATGCTTTCTCATTCCTTCACGTAAGCAGTCTTATGTGTCCTCCTGTAATTATTGTTTCTGCAGAGCGAGAAGTTTTGTACGAAGGCTTTTAGAACTTGCAGGATTTCTTTTTAGAAGAGTAAAATACAGAATGTATATTTTTGATTTCTTTTTACTCGTGACACTTTGCGAGGCACGTTGAATAAAAATAAAAACTTCCGCTTTAGTTAGGCTAACTTTGATATTAATTATTTTTTCCCAACACCGTAGTGTCATTAAAATAGGAGCCACTTCGTAGGCATTGACGGAAAGGGGCTCGAATGAGAAGTACATCCGTTCCCGCTTGTTCTGGCCACAAGTTGATGGGAGGAATGCCGTTCGTTTTCTAAAATATTTTCCACAAGCACCTTTGCGTGAATGAAAAAACAGAAGTGGAATTCGTAGGTTACGAATGTCGGGAAATAACTTTAAGCGGTATTTACCGAAAGTACAGAAACTGTGGCGTTCCGGTGCCGCAGGTGCGGGCTCGTCGTCCGGGGACTACGGCTCCAAGATAGTGCACTGTCGGGTGTGCAATGTGTACACCAACAGCGCCAAGCAGCTGGCGGAGCACCTGGGAGGCCTCCGGCACAAGAACCTGTGCTTCAAGTTCAACGTGCCCATCACTTCCCTGGAAGTGACCAGCAAGGACACCCACACCCTGGAGGACACCAAGCGTGAGTTGCTCGGGGGGGCTACAGTTGCCCTATGCTTCAGACCATAGGTCGGCTAGTGCTACGAGTTGCACCTCCCTATGGACGTCCGTCTTCACAAAACGGTCGGTGCATATGTCGCGCTCCTTCGTACGCAATTGTGGAGCACCGCGAAACGTGGCACGCGGAGTCGCCGCAGCAGCCGACCTTTGCCACCGCATTTTGGACCGTCTTTGGACTGCCCGAAGAGTGCCATGCCATTCGTCTTTGACGTAGATGTTGATTCAGCCTACGTCTCGCGCAGTTCAGGTAACATACTGTCACAAACTGGCACCGGCCAACTCTCCCACGAGCTTTTTCTTTGTGCCTCTGGGCTGCTGGCCGTGCCCCTCCGCCAGTTGGCCTTTTGAGTGGGCTGCCCCACTTTGCGACCCTAAACGGGAAGACAAAACCCGGTTTTGTTTTTCTCTTCCCTTTTCTTTCCCTTGGAGTGCCTTGGGCGCCGCCAAAGCCGGGAAATACACCGCCGTGGAGAGGGACGGTTTTCGAGGGAGCCGATAGTTCTTGGGGAGAGCTTTTTGGGGCGTCAAAGGGACAAGACGCCGGCTGCTTCCTTTATTGTTTCTTCTGATCTTAATATTGAGTGGAGTTCCGTTTGGAACTTTGGGGTTTTCTTTTTGTTGTGTATTGTTTGCTTATGCGCCAAACTTTAAAATCTATATTTTCTTTTCCCAAGTAAATATATTGTTTTCTGTTCGAACATATTGTGTTCTTCCCCGAATTGGAGACACGCGCCAACCTCGTGGCCTGACTGGCCTTAACAAAAATAAATGTCGTTCACAGTCGCCGTAGACGGCCGGCGGGCGAACCGTTAAGGGCGAATCGTGCCTCTAACCCCCAGGCAAGGGCGACTGTGACAGATACTTACATTTAATAAAAGTGCTTGTAAGTTGAGGCGTTGTATATAATGGCACCAAAAAAATCTCTAAAAAAAAAAAGAAAAAAAAAAAAAGCTATTGGCACAATGAAAAAACACCTTCAAGTTCAAATGAAACGTGAACGTTGATGGAACTTTGAGCCCACTACAGGTGCAGCTTCCGAGCTTGGGCTCTGCTTGGCGAGGTTCAGACACATCGGAGTAGGACGCACAACCTCGCAGGCGCTCTACTCCGACGTGTTTGAACCTTGCCAAGCACAACCTAAGCTTGGAAACTGCGCCGGTAGCAGGCTTGAACTTCCGTGTTCACATTTCATTTGAAGACGATGGTACATGGATGGGACGTCACATCCCGAATCAATTTTAACCACGGCATTTACGTGGATTCGCATAGATCGGTAACGACACTTCTCGTCGAACGATTATGATGCAGTCCTCGTCGCCCGTGGATCGTTCCGGGCCAGAAGTCGCACACTTTCGAATTTCGAAGCTCTTTGCGGGTTTACAACGGAGTGAAAATGGCCGTCGGCGCTGCCGCGCTCACTCTCCCTCGACTTTTTAGGGGCCTCCCTCGAAGCCGAAATCGACGCCGCCGGTTGCTAGGCATCTGCTCCCGGCACGACGCGACGACCTTGCGATAGTTTCGCACAAGCGCTTGATTAGGTTTGCCGGCGCTTATGCGGAGATCTCGGTTCAGCTCGTAAATCTCTAACCACTTCCTTCTGGCAGGTTCGATTCAATGCACTTTTGCTAGCGAATCGGGGCGTTTGCACGGGACGTTTTGATGAGCCAACTCCGTCCGATGCACTACCATCGCCTTCCTTGGCAAGTGGCCAGGGACATTCTGCCCTGCTGGCCATAAGCCGTCTAGAATAATTTACATTTGTAGCATCGAGCATGAGCATTCAGCAATGCATCTTGCTTGCAGAAGTGCTAGTATTTTTTTAATTGCACCTAGATAATTAATAAATGTGGACTAAATGGATTAGTTTTTAAATAATGATTTAAGGGTCCAAGTGTCAATTGGAAAGTTGTTGAGTGCCTTGAGAAACACCCGACTGAAGCGTTTGCAACATTGAATGCTTTGCTGGATTCTTTTCTGGTCCCAAAAAGAGGGTCAGATAAATATGTATTATATCACGCAACAACGCAGGAAGGTAGGATTTCTAGGCCGTGCTCTCCCTGAAGGGTAACTCTGCTCAATTCTGCTTTTGGGATAATGAGTGATTTCGCATTAAAAAGCCCTAGTAAAAGACACTCTGTCACTTTTAAAAGACAGAAGACTATGTCACTCAAAAATTCACACACACACACACGCACAAAAAAAGAGGAATTTCTTGTTTGGGATTGAACTGGTACCCTTTCATTTTAAATTCGACGCTGAACAAAAAAGAAGCAAGGTTGTGAGTGACAAGTTTAAACCCATAACTCAGTCTTCGGTTGATTTTCGGAGACACAAGACATATTTTGCGTTAGTACCACTACCTTAGACACGATAGTATGGGCAAAGTTCCAGCAATCAAACCCTTTTTTTTGTGTTGCAATGGTCAGCTAGCCTGGCCACTAGTTTGGAGACCCAGAGTTTGATTACCGGTCGCACCAAGAAGATTTTGGTTTTCAGCGGCTTCATAACGTATTATTTAATTTTGTGGGGAAATTTTTTCCCGCTTAGCGGGGAAAGTTTTCCGCTAAATTTAGTGAGGAAATTTTTCCGCTAAATTTAGCGGGGAAATTTACCCATAATGCAACGGGCGGTGACGTCATCCATGACGTCACTGGTGACCCTCGTGACGTCACACATGACGTTACGGGTGACGTCGTCATGGGAAACGTCCCATAATGCACCTTGCAGTTACGCCGACGGCGACGCTGCTCAAGCCGGAAACGAGCGCCTAAAAGCTGAGCTTTAAAAAAAAAAAAAAAAATTCACACAACAAACGACCTAAGTTTGAAAAAGGTATTACATTCTTAAAACAGAAAAGATAATTCTTGAATTTGGTCTATTGCCAGTATTGAAAATCTTTCAAAATTATCAATTTTCAAGGCGAAAACCGAATGGTGTTTGGTCTAAAACCACATACTTCTCTATGTAGCCTGTAACTCAGACAACAAAGGAGAGACCCAATGCAACTCCATTGCTGCGAGAGTCTCCTTCGAGTCCCAAGCAGCACAACTCAAGATGGTCTTCTGGAACAAAAAATATGTTTACTAAAAACATTCCAACAACAAAATTCGGCATTGATTTTGTAGAGGTTTTCTTTTTGCACTTTCAACTCAAAAACTGTTTTATTTTAATAAAAGTAAACCAAAAGTAATAAAAATATTTTATAAATTTCTTTTCAAGATTTGTTTGTTTTGTTTGAATTCTAGACTTTGTACAGCCGTTAACTATGCATATTTAGACCGAAATATTCTTTGTAGTTTCTTTGTTTGTTTTCTAACTGAGCATTTTGCAATTTGTTCAGTGCTGACAATAGACAAAAAAAAGTGTTGCTTTTAACAAATAATACTTTTTGTCAAATTTGTTTGTTTTTTGGTTATTAGCTACATATAACCGTAGGTTATGTATTTTTAGACTGAACACCTTTTGGTTTTTGCATTGAAAACTGAATATTTTGCAATGTGTTCAATACTCGCAATAGAACAAAATCAAAAATTATTTTTTTGCTTAAAGACAATAATATTTGTTTCTAACTTTGCTCGTTCGTTGCGTTAATTTTACATTACCTATATCCATTGAGCATATATTTTTAAACCAACTACCTTTATGAACTTTTATTTTTTTTTGAAAACTGAGTATTTTGCTAATGTTCTTATTGTCAATTTATTTTAGTAAACAATAACAAATTATTTATAAAAATATTTTTGCAGGTCTTTTTTGTTTCTCTTATTACTAACAAATGCAAGTTTTAAGTATTCATATGGTTGCTTGTTTTTGGAAATAAAAGGGGAATATCAGTTTATAAAACATTTTTAACATGCCTGCACCCTTAAAAAATACACAGAAATGTGCTACAATACCTATTGCATAATTTAGAAGAATATATTGACATACTAAAAAACGTTTGTTTCACAGTCTCATCTTGAACCTTTCTGGAAGAAGGTGTTTGTTTTTTTACTCTATGGCTCTAGTTTTCTGGAAAATTCAAGGTGTCGTCAAGAAATAAAAATAGCAAAAATATTTTTCAATCACTACTTCCGCATCAGCAGTAACACATATAATTTTTATAGACTGAATCCACGAGGGTTGAACCTAGGCCTGGTCGGCATGGAATGACCCAAAAGTGGTAATGCCTCGTGTCAACAGCAGAAATGATGCTGTGGAGCTGCGAATCGTGCATCAATTGTTTCTGTAACGTTGGTGTAATTTGTTTTTCTTACGACTCTGGGTTTCTGGAGAGAAGTGTTTGTCCTGGGTGGTGCCCAACCAGTGTCTCCCTTTGGCAGTGGTGGGCATGAAGCTGCGCTGCAAGTACTGCCAGGTGGAACTCAACTCCATGAACCAGTACGAAGAGGTGCGTGCCCAAGTCATTAGTTCATCGTTGCGATGTTGTTGCGGGAAATATCCCCTTCACAAACATGCGCCATTCCAAAGGGGTGCAAGAGAGGGTAGGGTTGCTTAAAATAACCGACCTGAAGGTCTTAATATTTTTTTTTCACGTTTGAACGATACAAGGGTTTTTCTCGGGATTTGAAAACATCTGGTTGATGCTTTGTCAGCTACCTCTCTTTTGTCACTGCCCGGACTAAATGAAATGAAAATCCCGAACGAAAGATTGCCCGTTCTCTCTTTCTGGCTTAATACCTGTGACGGGAAACTGCCGAAACCTTGCCTGTTGCGTCGACTTTATGCAATATTGAAAGGGCAACTTCGGCCCAAAACGAAGCCAAAATAAATCACTGGCATCACTTTAGTGGTCGAAATATGATTACGGCCGAAATATTACAGCAAAGTGAAGCCGCCTACTCCACTAAAACCGATTTTAAAGACGAGACCAGCCGCTCTTTAGCAGGTGGCAAATGGGTTCACCTTTAGTCGGATACGTCTACGCAGCCGGAGGTTGGCTAGACGTATATGTCACAGCAAACTTGTGACATCGCGGTGCAGCCGTACAACTGATGATCAGCGTTGCTCTCTCTATAGCAGACAGTTTTGGTTTTGCCGTGAACCTTCGAAACCAAACTTTGAGCAGTGATGTTTATAAAACTATGCGCAACATAGAGAAAAAAAATATATTCCTCATAATTTAAGTACACTGCTTTAGATAAACGCAGTCGTAATTCCGAATTAAAAAATATCAAGTGAAGGTTCCCTTTAAAGGGATACTACGAAATTTCGGCGCTCATTTTTTTGGTCTATATGTGTTCAAAAGAGCAGTATCACATGGAACATACAAATATCTTGTTAAAAAAGTCTCGAAAAGGAATTTTAAAACGAATTAAACGATTAGCAAAGAGCACCTGGTGGATGTCGCTAACGCCTCGTTTGTAATGCTCGTCTAGGAACCTTGACAGCTAGTGACGGAGGTTGTCTCGTCTTCGGCCACGACGAGAGAAGGGGGGAAGGAGGAACTCCCCTCTTCCCGAGAATCCCTTTTGTCTGTCGCAGAAGTCGCTATTGTCCCCCTAGAAGATTATAGAAGATTAACCCGTCACTCAAAATTCGTACAAAAGCAGCCGCTTTGGTGGCTGGAACGACTAGGCCATCCTCTCTACGTAAGCCTCGCCATAGCTTTGCTCGTCTTGAGACGACCTACGTCACGATTGCGTTGGATGTCACGTGCTCTAAGCTGGGCCTTCTCCGAGCGCTTGCCAGAGTGGGCCGTTTATAACGAAAAATACAGCCACCAGGATCAAAATACAAACGTGCGATTGTCATTTACGGAAATTGTGGATCATATTCAACCTATTTTTGAACAAGATGGGAATATTTCAAATTTCGTTGAAGTATCCCTTTAAGTGGCAACTCCGCTTAATATTTTAAACTCGCTTCTCACTTTCTCACTTCCAAGATTTTGGGATAATTAGTGATTTTGCATTATAAAGCCCTAGCAAAAGACACTATGTCATTTCCTTCGCGAAAAATGGAATGTATATTTTATATCTAATTTTAAACACGAGGAGAAATCGAAACGCAAATTTTGGCTCTGTCCGGCAACATTGGCCTCGGGCAGCCAAGAACATGGCTATCACGTGATACGAAATGTCATGTGATCCTCTACAGGTTGGATTGAGGCGGGTGTGTGCCAGGCGCAAGTGTCCTCTGCACCGCACTCTACGTCACGTTTTGATGTCTATGACATTCGACGACGTCTGCACAGCTGCGTCATATGTCTGTGCACGTGGTGTCCGTAGTGTGGACGAAATTCTGAGAGAATAATCAAAAGCAGCAAGCACGCTTCCCTGTGTCGCACAGGGAAGTATGCTCGCTGTGCCGGTCGGCCGGTCGGGTCGGCTGGCTGTTCCAGAAACTGCATTATAACCGGTATTTCCTTTCGCGCACCTGCATTTTAAGCGGTATGTACCGTATTTACTCGCAGAATGAACGCACTCGCGTAATGAACGCACCCCTCAAGTCGGCTCTCAAAATTTCGACTTTTTTTTTCACTCGCGTAAGAAACGCACCCCCAACTCGGACGTCAAAATTTTGACCCCCTCCCCCTACGCGCGCGAAATGAACGCACTTTTCTATCCTGGTGCAGCGAGGTCCCGAATGCATGGGCAGCGTGGGCGAACAAAACGCCTTGGAAAAGGTGTTAAAAAAAATTCGCAAAGATCCAACGGAAGCAAGAAAAAAAACATAAAGAGGAGCTTTTTTTTTTTTTTTTTTTGCACAGCGCAGTTTTGATTTTGGGTTCGCGCGCCGCCGCGCGCAAGGAGGTAAGAAAGAGAAGCGGAGAAGCGCTCGAAGCGAACGAAACAGCTTGCGAAAGGCGGCAAAAAGAAAAAAAAAAACCCACAGAACTAAGAAAAAACAAAAACAAAGCTTTTTTTGCACAGCGCAGTTTGGTTACGGGGGATCGCGCGCCGCCCGCAAGGAGGTAAGAAAGAGGAGCGGAGAAGCCCCCTAAGCAAACGAAACGACTTGCAAAAGGCGACAAAAAGAAAAAAAAAAAAAAGAAAAACCCACGGAACTGAGAAAAAAACAGAAGAAAAAAAGGAGCTTTTTTTTTTTTTGCACAGCTCAGTTTGGTTACGGGGGTCGTGCGTTGCGCGCAAGGAGATAAGAAATATAAGCGGAGAGCCTTCGCCTAAGCAACGCCAAGCAAATAAAACAGCTTGCGAAAGGCGGCAAAAAAAAAAAAAAAGGAACTGTATCGTTCTTGTGTGGGCTGGTAAGAATAGACAACTTGGGTATCAGGATAACAATGCTTTGGTTTATTCCGTGTTGTTACTTATATAGCCGAAGGTGGAAAGGGGTTAGTGTAGTAGAGGGCAAGGGAAAGGCACGTGGCAATGGAGCATACAGATAGCTTGTCCGCCTTGATCTGATACGATACATCCTCCTTCCCAACGGTCGTTCACCGCTGAGATCAACACCTCTGGCTCGTTTGCTGGAAGCGCTCGTCATAACCCAATCGCTCCGGAGGCCGCTTCTGTCGTGTTGTCCTTCGTGGTGGCTGAACCGTTGGCTGCTGAGCTGCCGTTTGTAGAGTCGTCGTAGTTGCCGTTTGTAGAGCCGTCGTGATGGTTGGCGCTGTGGATGTCATTCCGTGTGATGAGGCCCGGTCGTTGTCCGAATCTTCGTCGTCTGACAAGTCGACCTCGCATTCTTCCTTCGTCGCTAAAAGGTGTCGACGGTTGCGCCGAAGTACGGTATTATTCTCCGTACGCACGTAAAAGGACCGCGGCCCAGCTGATCCAACTACCTTGGCTTTCCGCGCCCATGACGCTCCATTCAGGCGTACCACGTCGTCGTTTTTAAGGCGGGGCAGCACCCGCTCGTTGTGGCCTGTCTGTCGGTGTTTCTTGACCCGTATCGCAGGAAGGGGATCGAAGTCCGGCACGGGTGTGCGCAGCCGCCTTCCTTGCAGCAGCTCGCCAGGAGACCGACCATCTTCGACAGGACATGCCCTGTAATTTAATATGCCAAGCCAAAAGCATTCGTTTGCAGCTTTCGTTTTCTTTAAGATGCGTTTGATTATTTGTACACCCTTTTCCGCGAGCCCGTTAGATTGGGGGTATTGCGGGCTGAATTTCACATGTTTGAAATCGTAATGCTTTGCAAACAGCGCGAACTCGTGGCTGCTAAACTGTGGGCCGTTATCTGAGCATACCTCCGTTAGGATGCCGTATCTTGAAAATATAGCACTGAGTCTATCAATAACCGAGGTGGCTGTTGTGTCGGGTAGGAGCTCCACCTCTGGGAAATTGGACATTGAATCGTAAACACACAGATAGTGTCTTCCGGAATACTGAAAGAGATCGACACCGACACGGTACCATGGTTGAGTGGGCGTTGGTTGTAGAATCAGAGGCTCTGATGGTTGCTTATAAGCATATGTTCTGCAGGTCGGACAGCTTTGGATCAACGACTCGACATCAGAGTTTATGTTCGGCCAGTAGACTAATTGCCTAGCCCTAGCTTTGCACTTTACCGTGCCAAGGTGGCCTGCGTGAATCCTCTTTAACATCTCTCTGCGCATGCTCGTGGGAATTACTACTTTCGTTCCTTTCAAAAGTATGCCGTCTACTACTGAAAGTTCGGCGGCAACTGATTTCAGCGCCCCTTCCACTTCGTCTCCCCTCCCGAGCTTTCGTAGTACTACGCTAAGATACGGATCAGTAGCGGTTTCGTGTGCAAGTTTCGCAGCCGTTTTTTCACTTACGAGTGCTGATACGACTGTGACGGCGGGAATTTCTACGTCGCCCGTGTCGGCGGCCCCCTTGTTCCCAGGAGCAGGAGATCGAGAAAGCATATCAGCCAGGGCCATCTGCTTGCCAGGAACAAATATCAACATGTAATCGTATTTGAGCAATCGTAGGAAAAAACGTTGCACTCTTGGCGGCATATCGGCTATGCCTTTCCTAGATATGTTTATCAGCGGGCTGTGGTCGCTCTCGAGTATGAGTGGGCAACCATACACAAAATGGTTAAACTTTTCGCAACCGAAAACCAACGCCAAAGCCTCTTTTTCAATTTGCGAATATCTCTGTTCCGATTCACTCAGCGCTCTCGACGCGTAAGCGACCGGTTTCCAGCAGTCCCCATGACGTTGTAGGAGTGCAGAGCCAATGCCACTTTGAGATGCGTCTGAAGTTATCCTCGTCTCCAAACCTAGGTCAAAAATAGCAAGCAGCGGTGCCTCGCTTAGCTCCTGACATATGGCTTGCCACTCGTTTTCATGATTAGGTGTCCATTCAAAAATGACGTCTTGTTTGATCAGGGAACGCAGAGTCGAAGTGCGCTGTGAAAGTGACGGTAGATACTTGCTAAAATAGTTAACAACCCCGAGCAACCTTTGTACTGCCAATTTGTCTTGTGGCTTTGGCATTTTGAGAAGACCGTCCACAA